TTGATCAAGGAACACGATAGTGAAGGTTTCAAGTCGATATCTCCCACCGTTTTGCCGCAATCGCCGCGGAAAGTTGAAAAAGTTTGATTTTTTTTCGGAAAATTTGACCTTTGACCGGTCATAAGTAGGTCAAATGTTGACCTAGGACCAAAAAATATACCACCAATCGCGAGATCTTGTTGAGAGCAATCCGTTGGTTTTTTCCGCTAAGCTCTACGACCTTCCGTTTCGAAACGCCAGGGGGGGGGGGTCGTAACACCCCCCCCCCCTGGTCGTTCGTGTTATGAGAAATGGCCTGGTCGTGCGAGGGTTAATGCTTTTATTTTATTGGTATTCAATATTGCAGTTTTAACCTGAGCCCACCATCTATATTCCATACTCAATCTCTGTTATGGTAACATTTATTATCTTGTTCATTCTACCATCGGTTCATTTATACCAAATGAAATTATTTCTTAGCGGTTTTGGTGATGAGCAGTTGAAAACATACCGTTTGTGCCATATCACCTCCAAGACAACAATGACTGCACTGAAGAAAACCGCGATGGGTATCAACAACAGCACTGGAAGCATATCACCAAACGCCAGCGCTTTGACCCCTCCCGACGGCTGGCACGTGCCGCGGCCCGCCCTCAGCCACATGCTCTTCAGCCTGTCCAGGGTGCCGCTCTGGTCCATTCTCAGCATCACCCGGTTGATGGCCCGCTTCAGGCGCGGCCTGCCCTTGGCCATGGCCAGGTAGGTGCTGCGGTAGGACGGCATGCGGTCCAGCAGCGGCACCACAGCGCACGCCTCCGAGCCCAGCGCGTATGTCAGGCGGTGCAGGTCGATGTAGGCCAGCACGCGCGGCTGTATGGCCCTGCTGGCGCTCTCCCGCGTGCCGTCCAGACGCAGGAGACCCTCGCCGCTGATCACCCGGCGGAAGAGGCCCTGCTCCAGGGCGCTGTCACTGCTCTTCCAGTCGTTGATGATGCCGGTGCCGGCTTCCACGGCTAGCAGCCAGTCGGGCTGCTCGGCGAACTCCTGCAGACTGCTGATGGGTCGGTCCACCGTGGTGACGGCGAGGTGAGAGATCAGGTTGGCCGTGTAGCTGATGTTGATCAACATGCCCAGCATCCAAGTCACACTGGTGACGACACGGCCCGAGTTGGAGCGCGGCGTGACGCTCCAACCCTGGCCCACCATTGACATGAACACAGAGAACAGACAGGAGCCCCAGCCGAGGTGCTCCCGCGCCCTCCGGTCCTCCACAGTCGGCCCAGAGGACTCGCCATCGTACCGCGAAGACAGGCGCAGCGCAGCGGCGAGCACCAGTAGCGCAGCCAGCAGCAGCAGCCACACGTGCAGATGCAGCGGCCGGAAGATGGAGCTCAGCATGGTCGGCGTCACCTTCGGCACCAGCCGCGCGCCCTGTCGCAGGTAGAACGTGTACCTCTCGCGCTCCACGGGCACGGCGTCGATCAGGTCAACCACAGAGGCGCGGTCCGGCCGGCCGTTGAGCCAGGTGAGCGCCAGGTCGGCGCGTCCGTAAGTCAGCTCGCCCACCATACCTGTCCAGGTGCCGTTCTCGTCCATGCTGCCGTAGCCGCTGTCTTGTGGAATGGCCACTAGTTGATAGCTGAGATCCAGCTCGTCAGCAATGATCTGCCACAGCTGGAACAGGTAGCCGCTGAAGCTGACTGAGCCATCAGGACGGTGATGGACGCTCACGTAGGGAGGGTCATCGAAGGCGACCACTCGCAGTGGGTCTTGTGATGTCAGGTTCTCAGGAGTCTCCGGAAGTTTTGATGACCACGGCAGACCGGCCTGCCGTAGAGCGCCGGCGCTCGACATAGTCAGAGGTTCCTGCTGGTGCAGAGTCTCTCCCGGCACTGGTGATGATGACGATGGTGATGGTTGTGATGTCAGTGCCGCTGATGCTGCGGTAGACGAGTAGGGTATAGCGGAGGTGCTCTCGGAAGGCGTGCTGCTCTCGCCTGCCCTCCTAAACGACTGACGAGGGCCCAGCCAGCCACCGGTATCTATGTAAAAACCGGGAACAATGACGGCGGGCGTTTTCGATACGCCAGCGCACCATCAATGACGGGCGCCATTATCGTCGCCGCGTCTTATTCAATACGGTATTTATGGTCTGTTTCCTGGCCATGACAGTGCACCGACTCGTATTGGACAGAGGCGGCGCGGGAACGCGTGTCTGCTGCTCGTTTATTCCTGGTCTCAAAGGACTGCGCCGTGGAAAGTTACGGCCATCACGCTGCACGGTGGTGCTCTATCCCTCATTGGCGACGGCGGCCTCCGTGACACCGGTTTGGGTGTAGAGACGGGCGACAGATACCAGACAGTTGTGGCGTGTATCGAGTCACTTACAGGGGACAACGAGGGAGCAGACGACTGGAAAACACACACCTGCCAATGGCAGTTATGTAACGAACCTAAAATAGACCGGCGGACGCACATGACGACAGTTTTCGTCAGCGCGACAATTATGAAAAAGAGCCCAATACTGGCTGTGCGCACATGGCAACAGTATAGGGCCTTGGGCAACAGTTTTGCCGGTACACTTCCCGTGCACATGACCAATTCATTGGAGCGGAGGTCATGTGAAGAAAATAATGCTGAACTTCTGACATTGAGTTTGGGGTAAGACGGGCAACTATGGATCCAATGTGTCTGTAATGGTGAAAATATTTGTGTTGCTGTAGGAAAAAAAGAAGCATTTTGGTAAGAATATGTTCGATTTCGATACCCACAGACATGTTCGCAATATTCCTTCGGCACAGTTTATTCTCGAATAATGAATGTGAAAAACGGCTCTACAAGGTTTCTGAACTAGGGCCTATATACGAGCATACGTCTTCTGCACGAATCTCGTTTACTGCCATTTCCGAAGCTTTTGAGACCAACGAGCGACTGTAGGGTAGACCGGGGCAAGTCGCCCCGCCGAGGTAAAACGCCTCACCGATGTTTCTCGGAACTGGCAAGGTTCTGGGGAAACATCCTCCCTTCTATAAAACGTGCACTATACGATCATTATATGAGCAGACTGGAAATAAATTGTGATGACTCTTTAGGGAGATATAGCCAAAAATGTGTTTTTGGAGTGATTTTTATGTTTTGTTATCAGATTATGCATCATGGCGTTCTTTTATCGTCCACATCAGGTTAACGACTTTTATGTATTTTGAACAACTATTGTCTAACGCTTACAATGCCGGGTTGGTTCGTGTTAAATTATGTCTTCCTGGAGTGCAAGGCGTTGTTCTCTGACCGAACTACGTGATGGGGTAAAACGCCCCAGTAGGTCGCGGGGCAAAAAGCCCCATGGGGCGTTTTACCTCATGTGTTGTTCGGACTACCCACTTCCTAACGTTCGGTAGCTGGCGAACGGTATGTTTCTATGCATTTATATGTACTTTTCTCAGCAACTGGATGGCAATGGAAGTATTTTGTTAACATTTGCATTGCAATAATTTGTTATTTGGCCTTATGAGGCAGGTGAAAAACCTGCTCATACAATAGTGTCGTAGCTGAACACCTGATAGGATGGAAGGTGCTAACTTCAGTGCCATGCCTCCCAAGGTCCAACGGACCTTTCATATAAGATTTAGTCAACTAGCATGTTTAATCTTTAATCTAGAGTATGGGGCTTCTTGCCCCAGGCCGTGGGGCGTTTTGCCCTGGGGTTGGGGCAAAACGCCCTATTTGCAGTTGCTTCACAAACCACTTCCTAGCTGGGAGTCCGATCATAAGTGAATGAATTTGAGGGGTGGAAATTAAAGTAAAATGTCCAAAGAACGCATTGAGCACAAATTTGGCCTTCCAGGTTATGTGGAATAAAAGTTATGTAGCAAAATAAATTATCTGGGGCGTCTTGCCCCAGGCTACCCTATCAATGCGGCTAATCTCGGGCATTTGTTGCGAGCTGCGCTGGTCGGTGAAAGAAGCTGGCCGTCTTGCCCTACCCATGTGACCGCCTTACCCCATGTGGTGGGGTAAGACGGGTTTTTGTAAGGTTTTGCAAAAATAGCTGTGGCTTTTTTGTTGAATCAGCTCTAAATCTTTCTTCTGGCAAATGGAAGTAAAATGTGTTAAAAAGGTTTTCACTCAGTTTCCCGTTTCTATGATGTTTTTAACCGGCCGAAAAATGGCTCCAAAGTTAAGGTGCCCGTTTTACCCCACTTTCCCCTACCTTCATAACATGTACGAAGCTGTCAGAGGTGGTTGACACCTACAACGAATACCTGCCAGGACCCCTACTGACCTGGCCTGGCCTGGCCCGACCTGGCCTAAATGCATGAAGGCAACGTCTGTGATCAAAATTAACATGATACTCGTGATCAGCACCCCGAAAAAAACCCTTAGCAGCCACACTTGACGACGTTCTAACAGGTCCCGATTTTCATCCCCACATTTGGGTCCTGGTCGGTGCGGGTGGCCTGACGAATTTATGGCATGGCTCGATGGTACCGGTGGTACCGTAACTAACCTAACCTAACGGTGGTACCTAACCTGATAAAACACAAATTGTGAGGTGATCCATAGGCGGCGGAACGGGGAGGGCACCGGGGCACCGTCCGTGCCCCTATTTGATTTGGGAGTTTTAACATTAGCCCTATGGGCGTTGTATGGAAAGAATGGGACCAAAAGTCGGCAGTGCCCCCCCCCCCCTTAATTGAAGGTGTTCCGCCACTACTGAGGTGTTCCTACGTGCCCAAAGGATAAACGTATCTGGCTGTGGTGAATTTCAGTCCGTTCAGATCGGTCCAGTGTCCACGCATTTTGATTTTTTTCGCAAAAGCTTATCTTACCGATCTTACCTACTCACAAACAGCCGAACGACTTCCAACAGGCTTTTACTCGTGCTTCTACTGACATCTATAGGAAATCATCACCGAATTCTGATGCAGGCCTGCCACTGCTGTAAAATTAGCCACTACTACAGCTTCAACTACTGCCGCTAGATGTCGTATGCTTCTCCTCCGGCGCCAATGTTCTGCGATTCCCCAATCACAAGGCGCCGGCGAGTGAGCGCGCTGCGGTGTGGGAGCGGTGGTGTGTGTTCTGGGCTGTGGTGCTGAATGGAGTGTTGTGCGCGATAGTTGCATGATATAATTGTTATATGCATTTTGTTCCAATAGTCATGGCGTCGTCGGACGTGCTTGGTGGCATGGAGATCAAGCCTGAACTAAAGGAAGTGGAGATCGAGTCGATTCCGGTTGAAATGCCAGTGGATTCCGTTGAGAGCATTCAACTAATTGCTCGTCCCTCCCTGCACGAGCCAGGTGGTGAAGATATTTTTCTTCAGACACATGAAGAAATTGTAGGTGATGGCGCTGAGGACCTTAATTACGACATACAGGTTCCCACTGAGGCTGAATTGGACCTGGACTACGGCACAACCAATTTTTCAAAGAGAAGTGTTAGTGCTCGCCGCCGGCAAACAACCCTCAAGGCTACCCGATGCAAAAATGATTATGCGTATGCTGAAGGCTCTTCCAAAAAATGGGAGCAAAAACAAGTTCAGATCAAGACATTAGAAGGAGAGTTCAGCGTAACAATGTGGTCTTCAGGCGCTGATGATGGTACGTTTCCGACGTTCTCTTTGTTCTCATGCTGTTGGCGATGTCATTAACCATCATGTTATATTGTTCTCTGGTCGCATTGGCCATTCAAGTAGTAAAAAGTGCATGGGCGGCGCCACCGGGGGGGACGGGGGGGACAGGTCCCCCGCTATCGAAAGTTTGGGGGGTACAGTACCCCCCTATCGGCGAGGCCCGTTCAATAGTTGATAATAATGCATTGTAGAGTTATCCGTCGCATTTAATGGATCGTTGGTTAATCAAGGCAGGTTCTGAATAAAGATTGCTGTTGGGATGTACCTATCGCAGGGGGTCCTGGCCATCTGCAAAAGGTGTGGAGCTGTGATGCCTGTAGTAATAAGGTGATCGGCAGGGCCTCGGGGATCGTGCCCCCCCCCCCTTTTTGCGGCGCCAGGCAGGGTTATTACCTCCCCATCTCACTGCCACACCCCATTGCCGACAAAACCAAGTTTACTGAAATTCCATAGATTTCCGTTACTATATGGATATTTTCCATTCCTAATTAGTCAAATTCAAGCATGGCAGTTCTACCACAGGAACCATTTGAAATCTATTGCCATTTAACCCCAGCACTTGTGGGGAGAAGTGTTCGGATAGATCACAGGCAGGACCAAAAAAGCACGCAGTAGCCCAAGACCTTATAATTGGGTAGCATCGGCTCCCTCTCGTCAAGGGGCTCGATAGCACTCGTTTTTTTTCTTCTGCAAAACTAAGTTCGGTCGGCGGCCGAACGGCTGGGGGTCTAATCGAGCCCCACCTCCCCTTCTTACGTCAGCGGCTGTGAAAATGCCATTACCAGCTGTTGAAACATGGCAGTTGCTTTTTCATGAGTGCACGAAGGGTTTTAGGTACGTGATACGTAAAAGGTTCTACATGAAAATTGAGATAGGTACACCAGCTTATCAAATTGTGTTCACTGTGGTGCGCTCGGTTTTACCTTGACTTGTCTTTGAATTCTGGGGTGAAACAGACCAGTCAAGAAACCTGTTCCATAAGGAGAGCCACTAATGCTAAAGAGATGAGGGATGAGGTTTCCAGAGACCTTCATTACCTCCCAAAGGGGGTGCCCACTGCCCCGCCATTTGCCAATCCCTGCTGTAGTTGTTACGATTGGAGGGAGGGGGAATATGAGAACGACTGCAGGTCGTGCCAGCTCGATCATGACGAACACAATGGTGCCGACATCACAGCTCTACTGCCATTTTTGACGAAGTTAAAAAAAAAGTCAACAAGGACCGGAATCCTACCCTGGGGCATTTCACCTGCAGAGGTCGCCGGACCTGAGACCCTTTCACTCATTTTTTTTTTTCAGCGGTGCATGCGCTCGTTTTTCCTGCGAAGCTCTCGGTTATAAGTAACATCCATCAGAAAGTGTGATCAAATAACGGCTGGTGACCTTCCATGACCTAGCATGACCTTTTGAGTGACCACGCACCGATGACATGACCACTAACGGCTAGCCAGAAGCTGCACCCTGCCCGTTGCATATGGAACAGGTGGTGATGTCATGATTCTGAAATTATATTGCAGTTTTGGCGCACTTGTCAGAGCAGAAGACATTCCCACTTTTCCTCCATGACTATAGACGTATGATGGTGAAGCCATGAAGCTGACCAGACGTAAGATCGAAAATTTGAAAGTACGAAACGTAAGAATAGTTGGCACTGCTACTCATACCTAAGCAATTCGCAGCTTGTAGGAAACCAGCTTTGAGTTGGCAAGACTGCAAATTTTGATTTAGAGGCAAGGATGCTTGAAAAGGTGATCGATCTTAGGTGTCCTAGGATAAGTTTGGAAACGGGATGCACCATTCGATGTGTTTTGGGCTTTGCGGGCTTTGCCAAGTTTCGCGGCGTTACGTGCCTCGTTTTTTTTTTTGCATACACGATCAGTAGGTATCTACTTTTGGGATTTTCGGTCATGGCAAGCCCCCGTCCCCGTCCCCCCCTATCGAAAACCCGTGGCGCCGCCCCTGGGTCCTGGCCATCTGCAAAAGGTGTGGAGCTGTGATGCCTGTAGTAATAAGGTGATCGGCAGGGCCTCGGGGATCGTGCCCCCCCCCCCTTTTTGCGGCGCCAGGCAGGGTTATTACCTCCCCATCTCACTGCCACACCCCATTGCCGACAAAACCAAGTTTACTGAAATTCCATAGATTTCCGTTACTATATGGATATTTTCCATTCCTAATTAGTCAAATTCAAGCATGGCAGTTCTACCACAGGAACCATTTGAAATCTATTGCCATTTAACCCCAGCACTTGTGGGGAGAAGTGTTCGGATAGATCACAGGCAGGACCAAAAAAGCACGCAGTAGCCCAAGACCTTATAATTGGGTAGCATCGGCTCCCTCTCGTCAAGGGGCTCGATAGCACTCGTTTTTTTTCTTCTGCAAAACTAAGTTCGGTCGGCGGCCGAACGGCTGGGGGTCTAATCGAGCCCCACCTCCCCTTCTTACGTCAGCGGCTGTGAAAATGCCATTACCAGCTGTTGAAACATGGCAGTTGCTTTTTCATGAGTGCACGAAGGGTTTTAGGTACGTGATACGTAAAAGGTTCTACATGAAAATTGAGATAGGTACACCAGCTTATCAAATTGTGTTCACTGTGGTGCGCTCGGTTTTACCTTGACTTGTCTTTGAATTCTGGGGTGAAACAGACCAGTCAAGAAACCTGTTCCATAAGGAGAGCCACTAATGCTAAAGAGATGAGGGATGAGGTTTCCAGAGACCTTCATTACCTCCCAAAGGGGGTGCCCACTGCCCCGCCATTTGCCAATCCCTGCTGTAGTTGTTACGATTGGAGGGAGGGGGAATATGAGAACGACTGCAGGTCGTGCCAGCTCGATCATGACGAACACAATGGTGCCGACATCACAGCTCTACTGCCATTTTTGACGAAGTTAAAAAAAAAGTCAACAAGGACCGGAATCCTACCCTGGGGCATTTCACCTGCAGAGGTCGCCGGACCTGAGACCCTTTCACTCATTTTTTTTTTTCAGCGGTGCATGCGCTCGTTTTTCCTGCGAAGCTCTCGGTTATAAGTAACATCCATCAGAAAGTGTGATCAAATAACGGCTGGTGACCTTCCATGACCTAGCATGACCTTTTGAGTGACCACGCACCGATGACATGACCACTAACGGCTAGCCAGAAGCTGCACCCTGCCCGTTGCATATGGAACAGGTGGTGATGTCATGATTCTGAAATTATATTGCAGTTTTGGCGCACTTGTCAGAGCAGAAGACATTCCCACTTTTCCTCCATGACTATAGACGTATGATGGTGAAGCCATGAAGCTGACCAGACGTAAGATCGAAAATTTGAAAGTACGAAACGTAAGAATAGTTGGCACTGCTACTCATACCTAAGCAATTCGCAGCTTGTAGGAAACCAGCTTTGAGTTGGCAAGACTGCAAATTTTGATTTAGAGGCAAGGATGCTTGAAAAGGTGATCGATCTTAGGTGTCCTAGGATAAGTTTGGAAACGGGATGCACCATTCGATGTGTTTTGGGCTTTGCGGGCTTTGCCAAGTTTCGCGGCGTTACGTGCCTCGTTTTTTTTTTTGCATACACGATCAGTAGGTATCTACTTTTGGGATTTTCGGTCATGGCAAGCCCCCGTCCCCGTCCCCCCCTATCGAAAACCCGTGGCGCCGCCCCTGAAAAAGTGAGTTATTTCGAAGTTCTCTGGTTTGTTTATATTTTGGTCGGCCATTCATCGGTCACCATGGGCGCAGCCATATTTTAAGGCAATATGGCGTCTAGCCATCATGGCGGCCACCATGTACAGCTCGTCCGCCATGATGGCTTCGTGAACTGCTGCCGAATAAAAATGATTCCTTATTCATTTAGGGCTCAGCGTGATATTCCCATATTTTTTCTAGTAGCTCTGCTGCGTTATTTGAACGTTCTGTCCAGCATATTGTGTCATCGCACGCCGATTTCCTGAAATATTTGCGTGCTTACTAGAGGTGGTCAAGCTCGGTAACATGTAAGTACGGGTACTTACCAGAACACCAGTGTCCCGATTGGTGTAAATGGATAAAAATATCTTTGGTTGTTTCAAAACCATCAGTTATTTTTCATCATTTGTTGAAATCATTTATACTTAAATTTTAAGACTTCGATAGACTTGTGACGATAGATTAAAGTTGTTATCACCAAGCCAGTACTGTCTTCTGCACTCCACTTATGCGCATGCGCATTGAGGTATTGACCTTGGCGCGAAGGCGCTGCCATCTATCGCCAATGTGTAAAGTAGTAGTTGGTTGTTGTGTGCGGAGTGCCAGATGTCGCTCACTGATGTCAAGTCCTTTTGTTAAACTTTTACGGTCTTGATCATGCATAAGCCAATGAATGTAAGGTTTCGGATTGAACTACACACCTTTTATTTTCAATGATGGGGTATCAAAGCATGACACGACTCTGATACAACTCATGCCTGGATGAGGGCTTACCAGTGGCAGCCTTCAACAGGCAACACAATAGGCTGTGAGCTCAATTGAATCAGATAGTTTTGCTATTGTTATTCAGTTTTAGAGGCATCTATGTCCTACTCTTTGGATGATTAAATGATAGGACATCCTGACCTCTGACTATTTTTGTGTTTCTGCAGATGAGTGCTCCCGGGATCCTCTGTCGGTGGATGATGCCAGCACACCAGAGCCTGACCCAGACTACACTGAGTACATGATGGGCAAGAAGATCCCCGCTGAGGGCATCCCTGGCCTGGACCTCTCCGACCCCAAGCAGCTGGCAGAGTTTGCCCGCATCAAGCCCAAAAAGCAGACCGATGATGCCCCACGCACCATCGCCTGTCCTCACAAGGTGGGCTCAGACTGCTGGCAGCTCTTCGGAGTTTTTTATGACAGATGATTAGCTCGCCCATACTTGTTTCAGTTTCTTGTATTCTAATTTTTCATTTTTTAGAGTAATGGACAAACCAATCAATCCCTTTATTGCCCTAATCAATTTCCACAAAACGGCGTAGAAAACAAGGTACGCCGCAGCTGCAGGACAAATCCGATAAATGCTGCTTGTGATTGTAGCTAGTTGTCAATTGTGTCGGTTTGTGAAATGGTTTGTCCGTCCAAGTGACTTGTGTGTTTCTCTCCATGCTAGAGACCGTTTTCCGACCTCGGACCTCGGCTTGGCTATTTTTCAATGTAAAAACTGTAGGTATAGTGTCCGTTTATGCAATAGTTAGGAGTGTTCCAATACTGATCGGCTGATGCCTGTCCCAGGGGTGCTCCAAGATGTTCCGCGACAACTCTGCCATGCGGAAGCACCTGCATACGCACGGGCCGCGCGTGCACGTGTGCGCCGAGTGCGGCAAGGCGTTCGTGGAGAGCTCCAAGCTGAAGCGGCACCAGCTGGTGCATACCGGCGAGAAGCCGTTCCAGGTGCGTCCCAACGGCCGCCGATGTTCGCTGTCCTCTGCGGGGACTACTTTCCCGTCTGCTCCCTCCCCACTTAAGTGGCTACTTTTCCTCCGACCGTCGCCGGCCTACGCAGTGATTGCTCACCCTTTGCCGGCCCGCTCATGGCTCCTGACTCTCCCCTCAGTTGTCCGTTTGTCTTTTCCAAAGATCGATTTAAAAGTGATCGGCGCCTGTCTTATTACTTGCTTCATGGTTGCCTTGTTTAATATCGAGTTCTTTTCTCTAGCGCTGGTAATCGCCACGCACTTTGTATGTGGATCGCTCTTAAATGTAAATACAATACAATACAATACAATACAGGTGCTAATGCCTTTGACTGTCCAAGCTCGCGACTGTTTGTTTGCTCCGTTGTTTGGATTTGACTTAGTCATCACTTTAATCCTACGTCTACACTGCTTGCCTTTCTCCCAAAGTGTTGTGATATGACGCGCGATTTTTCCATCTCTACCGCAGTGTACGTTCGAAGGGTGCGGGAAGCGGTTCTCGCTGGACTTCAACCTTCGAACCCACGTGCGGATCCACACGGGCGACCGGCCTTACGTCTGTCCATTCGACGGCTGCAGCAAAAAGTTCGCCCAGTCGACCAACCTCAAGTCGCATATACTCACTCACGCCAAAGCCAAGTAAGTAATCACCGAAAGTATTCGCACACGGGATGCCGACGAGAACTACGAACTGTGTTTACTCCTGAATAGCTACTTATGAGTCAGGGGGCGATAGTGACGGCATTGTCCAGTCACTTGGTTGGGCTTACGGTTTACGGCGTGTCGGCTCAGCAAGGTGTTTCGTTGATGTATATTTATTAGCCGTAAACATATTATGCTTAATCGTATCCATAGATTTTGTGATCATATAATAACGATAAGTCGCCGTGCGGCCGTTAAGAAAATACAAGTACCGTTGATTTTCCTTGGTAACGTTTATCTCGTTTCGTTTCAGCGGCCGGAACAACCAGAACCGACAGACCATGGATACAATGGCCCATATGTCGGACATGGATGACTCGGCACACTACGTGCCGGTGGTGTACAGCGAGTGAACGAGCCTCTGCCGACAGGGGCGCGTGTGGGCCGACGGCCGCCCCGCCCGTACAATGACAATAGTACGCCGCCCGCTCGGCGCTGGGACCGAAATGGACGCGAAAGCCGAGCGCTGTGGACTTGGCTGGCCGGGTGAGGCTCTTTTAGGCAGCCCCCGGCGTGCACGTGGTCGTTTTTGTATGACTGTTGCTTTTCGTCTCGCGTCGCGGCCCACTAGCTCGCTCGCTGAGTGCGCGGTGATTTTCCAAGCCGCAGAGTGAACTTCGGAGCGCCGGGAGAGTAGTGACGCGTGAGTGTGACGGTCGTCGTTCTACGCATCGTCACGGACCAGCCAGCTGCGGCAAACGGTGACGTCGGCCACGGACAGTGATAGCCGCCGTCGACATTGACGGCGCGCGAGGTACAAACGCGGCGCGCTGGGACCGGGCTCCAGTGATACATGGCCTGAGGGCGCCCTCCTTATCCCCCGCTCGCCCTACAGTGTACAATACAGTGACTGCGTAACAGCGTAGGACAGAGCCGGATGTGCATCGGAGACGTGCTACAGCTTAGGGTTTGATCTGGTAGCTAGCTGAGAAGGTCGGGCAGAACATGTTAAAAGTCTGCTAAAGAGCGGAAGAGATGGTCGAGGGGGACATGGCGTGGATGGTTGCAACTTATAAGCTTGCTGGGAGGGGAGGATAGAGGCATCCATGCATCTTACACTGTCGCTCTTGTCTCAAATCATCGATCCGATCAGTAACAATGTATTTTTTTGTGACCAGCACCCACAGAGCTTCCACATGACGTACGATAAAATGGGCGGCGCTGTTTCCACTTTCAACACCCACGTTCAGTATAAAATTGCAGCGCTCCGACGGTCCCTGTCGCAAGACCGCCCCACCAATAGACAGTCGTGCTCATTATAACGGCTTCCCCGCTCTCCCAATCCACACAGTTTCGGTTTTCGTCACTCATCCGATAGGTAGCGATTTCCTGGCTTCTCACCCCCACACCCTTCGGAAGCCAGACAATACATTCAAACACCGGGACCTTTTCAGAGTTAAAAACATACGATGACACGGTCATGCTTTGTGACAAGAAATTCGTGTGTACCCAAAGAACTAGCATATTTTCCCACTATGAACCATTTGGCGGACTTATGTCCACCCTAAAATAAATACTAACTCACCTATTTAATACATATTCGCCAGTCCCAGCTAACATTCACTTCCCTTTGGAATGGTCGATGTTAGTCTATCGTAATCTGCCTCGCTCAGCGGAGGCACCGCACCACACCACTTTGGCATTCACTCGCTCTTTGGGCAGCCGTACCATCCCAGTACCGCAGGTCCCACAGCCACACGGTTCAAACACAGCACGGTGAGCGGTTCACTCCAGTAGCTGCAGTTCATTCCTGTTCTGACATGGGATTCGCTTGGTAAGACTGGGTGGTTAGTTCTGAAAGGCCCGGTGATAATGTACGGCCGATGAGAGCTGAACCTTCATGGGACACGCCGCCACAGCCCCACACCGCGCAGGAACAAGTGTTTTCTGTCACCAGCGCCTTCACCCGACACACCTGCACACTGCAGCTTTGATCACTGAGATCCACCTCACCACACGCAATTCAGCTGAAACTTTCCCACGTCATCATCCCCTGACATTGTTTGTTAAAATGTCACCTACGGGCTGTCGGCCGTGTACCCCTCCCTATAGTGCAGTGAGCGTGTACCATTAGTAGGCAACAACAATAACAACGGATCAGTCCCTCTTTCCATATCACGCTTAACAGCCGGTCGGCAGGCCGGGTTGAGGTCCGTAAGGTGCAGATGACGATCCTAAGACAGATGTTCGGGAGCAGTCTTCTGGCGCCACTCTACACCCGACACAGCGCAGCCGCAGCCCCTCTAGACGGACGAGCAGATCACATCCTTCGATCTGGCAAAGGCCATCAGCAGTACCTCTAGACTGACGGAGACGAACTCCAGTCCTTCCAGGTCACCGGCTGACCGATGTGCTGCCGGCCAGGTTCCCAGCACGACACGACTCCGACAGCGCCGGCGGGGCCTCGACCGTCCGAGCACCATGCGAACCACTGCCATCTCCGTCGCGCCCAGCGGCCACCACTCCGTCCTCCGGCCGGCCCAATTCACGCTATACCCACCAGGCGGCGCTAGTGGTGGTGGTTGAGCGACAGCAGCACCGGCAGCAGGCAGCCGCCCACCAGACAGCCCATCTCGGTCAGAGAGAAGTGTTTTCGGTCACCGCGAGAGACCACCTCCGGCAGGACGTGCACAGTGGAGACGTAGAGGAAGGTACCGGCGCTGAACAGCAGACACAGACCGGTGGCACTGGTATCGGCCAGCGCCTCACCGCCGCCCTGCAGACGAAGGGGGGGGGGGGGCGTCAGTTGGAGCTCCGACAGGAGGTTGGGCGCTCATAGCAGCAAACTAGTGTGCGATGTGTCGACTAGCATTCCGCTCACAAAAAGCCATATGAAACATGTATGCAGGTGTACAAATTTCGCGTGTAGCGACATCAACCCAGCAGTCAGAAATCGATAAATCAATAATCGCCAGTCGATCGCAGTAACCACCTCTGCCCTGCCCGCCCTCACTCAACCCTCCCCGCCCCCGGTCTGTCAATCCCACCTGTCCTATTCCAAAGAAGGTAACGAGTGCCATCAGCGGCGCAGCCACAGAGAACACCAGCAGATGGCGACGCACGCGGGCGCGCTCGAGGCCCTCGTGCAGCAGAAACGTCACCAGGCCGAACGCGGCCGGCGCCTGGGGGAGGGGGCGGCGGGGGAGATGGTGGTCAGGGGGCGACACAACGGATACGTAGGGGGGGGGGGGGGGGGTAGGGACAGGTGTTGGCGAGCCAGGGGCATGCCAGCAGTGAATAAATAAACCAACGGTCACCCACTATAACTCATGCTATCGGTCGATACCAGCATTGGTAACGTACCGCTCCATTACTTTGGAATGCTCAAATCGGTTTCTTTTTTTTTTCTTCCAATAACGGGTTCAGAGCCAAAACAGAAGGAAAGGGGTATAATAATCTGACAACGCTCACGTTACGGGAAACGCGACCGCTTACAATTAATTGGTGCATTATAGATAAGATCATTGACATACGATTTCCCGGACGCATATTTTCATACCGCTCATCGGTCTGCAGCATGGTTCCGTAGTATGTAATCACTGGTCTGTGAGGGAAAGCGAGTCCCACCACGCCGCCGCCACCACCGCGGCAACAATGAGGCCACATACCACCCTTTGAATCATTGAACACGTCACAACCGTACCCACTATTAGTTGACACACTCATTACACATTCATGGACCGTTTCCTCATGACCTAATAACGTCCTGCATTGCCCTTACAGCACGAACTTTTCACCTCCCGTCTCCACCTCCCCAATTATTTACCATTCCCTGACAATCCCCATCACACACCTTATGCAGCATGATGGCGACGAACACGATCAGCTCGACGTCGGTTCGTTTGGAGGCGACGGCGGCGCCCAGAGCCACGCCGTCGGCGGCCGCGTGCACCACCAGGCCGACAGTGGCCGTCATGTTGGGCCCGGGCCGCGACGGACCGCGGCCCTCAGGGTCTGTGCACAGGGGGGGGGGGTTATATTGGGGTAGAGAAGAAGTTAATATAACTTTAAAGCTAGACCGGGGTATGGAGTGAGCTGCAGATGGGTGAATGCAGTCCGTTTTACTTCGACCATGCTTAATCCCTGTCGAATGAATGTTTTTACCGTTCAGTTGTTTTCTATTTGCATCATACTGTACGGCAGATTGTTGACAGAGGTCACAGTTTATGTCAGAATGGGTCACATTGAACGTAAGCAGGTAGGTTTTACCGTGAACGTCCCGCACCAGCTGAGGACAGTCACGCGTTAGCAGAGTGTATGGTAGACTGTAGAGCACCTGTGCGACGCTCGCACCTGAAAACACAACGCACGGCCCAGGCATCCACCATGCCTGGCTGCCAGCTTGGAATGCTAATAGATCAGTAATCTAAGCGTGGATGCAGTGCAGTGACACATGAAAAAGACATTTCTTATCTGACACACGCTCCGATGGGTCTGTCCCAGCATCTCACCTTGATATTGTACTAATAAAGTAGAAGTCTAAGGCCCACTGATGTGTTCGATTTCAAATGATGTGTCCAACTGTCCAGTATTGTCCCACATGCCCGCTATGCACAGCTATACCTACTCCTGCCCACCGACCTGTTGTCTGGTCGCCGCTGTGCCGATGTGTGCACTGGTCCACCAGCAGCATCAAGATAAACCCAGACACCAGCGCCAGGCCGACCAGAGAGTGCAGCTCCTCCGCGCCGCCGCCCTCGCCGTGGGTGTGACTGTGGCCCGACCCGGCGGTGGGCGCCGCCGCGGCTGGAACAGGTCAGACACACGGCACAGGGTCAGAGGTCAGGAATGAGACCGGGGTCGGCTGGCTGAGGGCAAACTAGCGGGAAAGACGCCTTCACTGATATTGATGATTTGTAGGGCAATCAACACGATTGAAACTGTTTGCGAACAGGGCCATTTCAACGCGAAAATATCGGGAACGTTTATAACTAAGTAAGTAGCAAACAGCATTTCCGGTGACGAGACTCCGGGTTCGAGTCATTACGGTGATCGATACGAGACTCCTGCCGAGATGGTCTGCGGTCGATTGGAGTGATTACATACAGCCAGCTGAAGACAATGAGTTCGAGGAGCGACGCCCGGCTATTTGTAGGATCGACGATCGTCAAACTTCGCTTCTAAATTCTACTGAAAATCCGGAAATTTCTGAAGTTCCGGGTGTGGCAATGTAGATGAAGGTCAAATCGAAAATCGAAATATAACCTGGTTAGCATGGTGAGTCTGGTCACTTTGAGTTCGTTTATCAGTCAGATCAATTATACATTGCTAAAGAAGTGGCAACGAGCCGGTGGAGACAAAGTGCGGAATTACCACGGCGCAGAACAGATTTTGAGCGATGTTGTGCAGGATTGTGGCAGTAATGCAGTACTGTGTGAGAACCTGGTGCAAAAGAGAATCACCCAGGCAATGCTGGATTATTGTTTACCTTTGCGGCCACCCTGGATGATGGTGTTGACTCCCTCTGGTATGATGACTGCTAGTGCTGTGCCCACCAGAAGCCCAGCTCCTACAAGGGTCACATACTGAAGCTTTGTCTGAAAAGCAAAACAATGAACATAAGTCAGGGTCACTGTCATGACTGTTTTATGTTTATTACCATGCACCATTGGGTTCCTTTTTCTCTGCTGGAATGCTATCTTTCAGGGCAAGTCACAAGGACAAAAGTTAATATGCAAAGCAACAAGAATTGCCCATTGGGATTTCTTGCCTCTTCTTCACCTTACATCATCATCAAGCTTGAGCAGCTACTAAGTAAGGGCACCAAATTACTCATTGTCATTGATGGAAATTAAATATCTCACCTCAGAGAGAGTGACAGTAAGTGGTATTAGTCCAGCCAGGTAACAGCCAACCAGCATAGCCAGACTGAACAATATAATGGTAGTTATTCCATCCATTCTGGATTCCTAATAGAGCTGAAACAAAACAGCTCCTGTCACTTGTCAGAAACAGTGTGTATAAGGGTCAAAACCAGCAGTGACAGCACAGATCAGAGTTGGAATTGAGCCGAGGCCTCTTTAAAGTCCTTGCATTTTATTCTCTGAGTCACTTAGCTCAGTGACTCCTTCCAACCTTTCACTCTCAGAACCTGATCGGGGCCTCATATATTTTCACTGCTTGCCCAGGTCGAGACGCAAAGCTTATAGTTACTCGGGTGATGAAATAGATTGATTCTATTAAGTCCTTTTCTTTTATTCAAATGATATACATATATTTAACAATAATTCTGGACTAGGCTTGTTTGGTGGGACATAAATAAGCTTCTTGTGACCATTAACTTTGCATCTGGACTAGGGTGAGTGGCGAAAGCAGCTGCAGCCCTGAGCGCCCAGGTCCCAAAGGCTATCGCTGCATGGGCCATGGGTTAAACCCACCCAGATAATAAAATGTCGGGACTGAGAAGGAGGCTGCATTCCAACTCAAACTGGCATTGATGCAAGCTACCTGCACACAATGCAGCTTGCACACAATTGCACGGCGTCTGGTGTCCCGGACTCCCGAGCCCCTTGTTATGCGACTGAATGTCCAAGCTAGACCCTCAACAATACACTCGCTCATTTCCAGATTCCCTTACTACATGCAAAACCAACAGTTAATCGAAATAATGATAATTAACCGTACTAATGCCCCGCCAGCAAGGCGAGAGGAAATTTACGAATACGTAAACAATATCAAGGTCCAGTCTAAATGAAGTAGCAACATTTCTACAAAGCTCGGTAATTCGTGACGTCATTAATGAATGTTCACCATGCACGAGGCACGAGAAAACATATATTCTTACCCTGTTCGTATATCTTCCTCTCGTCTCTCCAGTCATCGGACAGGCTAGCAAAGATCGGAAGTACAGGTGAAGCAAAAAACAGGTATATTGCAAGGCGATAAATATCGTATATTGCTACTTCGATTAGGTACTAGGTAGTGTAGGCAGGCGTAACAAAAGGTCTTCTTGTATTTAGCTGTCTAGCTATCGATATTTATATCCAAGAACATGTTGCAAATTGCACAATGTACATTCCTATAACGCATTTGGCAACAATCGCTGAGGCATCTTTCAGGGTGCCCGGCCCACTGTTTGACAGTAGAGTGCTGACAGTAGGTGCTGCAAGGGCCGACGTGCAAGACCAGAGTGCTGACTGCTGATAGGTATGTACATTTGTCCACGTGAACCGTGAATTGCAATATGTGAAGAAAGTTGCTTCTGTAACGACGTAGGTAATGGGTTAAGATTCTTACAAATGGGCAAATATGATCCTATAGCCACTGCCCACTACAAATGACAAACTCGGTCAGCTGCATGCACTCAATACAATCAATGACGAACAAATATTGCACCCCAACGTTGCATTCCAATACATCATCACCCATGAACCATCGCACTGAGAATAAATGTAGATACGGCGAAATCTTACCACAGGAAGGCGAGCTAGGATACATAAAAATGCACATGGTACACTGCACAGCCCGACAGTTCGTCAGTGATTAGACTAAATTGTAATACGATTGCTAATAACACAAACGTGAAGGAATCCATAGAAACGGAATGATTTCATTTAGAAGGGGATTTGCAACTAAGACATGATTATTCAAAACTTAATACCAACACACTACATAGTAACACAATTCATAGGTAAATTCAGAGTTTCCCTTGTTACCGCATAACGCTATGGAATATGAAGTCCTCACACGAACCAGCTTGACTTCAGACAAACGCTGCGGACTAGACTTTCTGCAGACTAGCACTCTGTATAGCGAGAGACACAATGCAGCTTCTTTTACTCTAGTACCGATGGTTCAGAAAGAACCGTTTATAGCCGATAAACACGCTTTGCGAGACCCCCATTGTCATTTTCAACAAGAATCAAAAACTCTTGAACAACCTCTACAACACTATGACCCAGAAAGTCTCCCACCTCTTGTCCAGATGACCAGCGTTGTTGACGTCCCGATGGAAGATCTATATCGGTAGTCACATCCTGTTTCCACACACCTGTGTCTGACAGATTGCTGGAAGGTTTCTCAAGTTTTTCTTCCAAAACGTCTGGTGAAGTTGGTTTTGTATTCCTGCCGATATTGGCCGACTTAGCTTCACGCAAGTCCACCACAACACCACGAAACCATGGACCTAAGTCCAGCCTGTAGTCCTCTCCACTCAGTGTCCAAAGTCCCACAAGTTTTGCCTCTTCGTCCGCCGTTCTGCACACCACCACGCGCAACGGCCGAGACGACACAACCTCCAGTTGCGGAGAGATCTGCACAGTCCCTGGTCCGTCGTTACCCTCGGCAGCGCCGCACCAGGCGTGGTGATAGAGTAACGCCGCGCTGGCGGCGTCCAGGAACGTCAGGTCGCTGGTGGCCGGCGGGCAGGGCGCCGCACACGAGTGGCAGTCGGCGTCGCAGCGGTGGCCGGCCGGCACACCGGGCACTGTTGGCAGCTCCGGTGGCGGCCGACGTAGTCCTCCCGTGGCGCCCTCCGTACTCAGCACGCAGTACCGCCACAGCTCGTCGTAGGCGCGGCCCATCAGACCGTGCTCAGCGTGGCCCAGGTCCAGCGCGTGACAGAGCTCGTGCGCGGCGGCGCCCAGCGTGGTGCTCAGGCAGGCCCAGCGCGTGCCGCGGCCGGAGGTATCGGCCCACTCTGGCGCCGCGCGGCCGTCACAGAACCGCGGCACGATCTCGGGCACCGATCGCGGCCAGCTGAAGAGACAGGCGGCCGAACACAGCGCCAGGCCGCCGCCGCCCTGCCACACGTGACCTCCGTCCAGGGCGGGGCCTGCGAGGAACCCCAGCACCTTGGTGGTCGCCAGGTCGATGCGGGTGTTGCGCAGCTCGGCGGCGACGCGGCTCCACAGCTGGCGGGGCTCGAGGCGTTGTGCCTCGGCGCGGGTCAGGCGGAGGCGTTGTGTCAGCACTGTGTCGCGCAGGGCGAACGTGCGTGCCGGTCGTCCGGGGAAGTGCTCGCGAAGTTTGTCGGCGATCAGCGCCTGCAGCAGCAGACAGCCAAGCCAGAGGCGGCGAGCGGCGCTCGCCCTGCTGCCGTCCTCACCCGGCGGCGCTGGCACCGAGCCATCCTCATTGGCACACACCAGAAGGGTGGGCTGCACACAATGTGGCCCATTTACTGGCCTGCACAGCAGTCTCACTGATCTCTGACAGTGCAGCCGACACTGGTCACAGTCCACAGACAAAGTCACTTCCTGACAGCCAGGCACAAGCACCAGCCAGCCAATGAACTGCTGGCCATAGACAGGAAATAGCAGACCACCAATGTTCACATGATGTGCCTGCTGGCAGGTCCAGTGGCGGACTGCCCCTGTTACGCGCACCAGCCTGTGGGGCACTGGCTCCGAAATGGCATCAAGTACTAACATAATTAAATTCCTGATTCACGAGAATCATATCTGACTGGGGTCTGATAAGAGCAGAGTTATGATGCTTCTTGGATGAGTGTTATAATGAATGTCGCAGTAATATAATGAATGTCGCTCTGACTCTGAGTGAAGGGATGATTTCAATTTTGATTTCTGAGTGACTTAAAGGGACCCTCCCACCTTAACATTAGTTTTGAGTTGAGATAGCCAAATTGGTGGCCATGGCCTGAAAATACCGGTTTGAGCATTCACAACATCGAAAAATGCTTTAATTCGGAGATATGGAATTTCAAACTTGCAGTTTTCGGATTCTAAGGGGCTAATGCATTGGTATGCCCCCTTAGAATTTGTGACGTCAGCGGAGATCTAACGATTTTTAAATCTTTTACTAAAACGTTTGGCAGCACGCGGTGGTATATGCTGCTTTGCGCGCAACAAATGCCGCACTTTCAAATAAAGTCGCTAGGAACAGCGGAGATCCCAAAAAGTAAACAAAAGTAAAAGTCTAATATCTTGAAAACCGGTGAATATTTTTCGATGAAATTTGGTAGATATTCATTTTTGCTCTTTCTGAACCGAGCGACATCACTTTCATGCCAATTCATTAACTTTTTTGAAGGTGGGAGGGTCCCTTTAATATAAACAATGCAAAATACACCAACATGTCAAATCTGTTGCCAGGCATAGTACATTTAAAGACATGATGTGGAGATGAATTGTGAATTAAAATGAAATCGGACTTACTCCACAAGAGTTCGTTGGGTCGGAGCTTTCGAATTGTATTACAATTCTTCGTCAGCGAGAGTCGTATCGGATGTTAAGATCGAATCGAAGGTACAGTGCGGATCGAACAAAATATGGGTCGGACAGGAGGGTCTCTGAGGCAACTAGTTGGTCTTGAAATAAACATACAAACACTGGGAAAACACGTGAATAATAACAGGATGCACACTTACTAGAAAAAGCCTGTAAAATGGGTATAAAACACACTAGTAAAATATCTAATACAAAAATATAGGCAGGTAGGTAAAAATACAGTTAATGACATGTAAAAAATTGCATAGATTAGGTGCAAACAGTACCTAAAGCAGAGATAAAGCTTTACAAAAACACGAATAGTAAACTGGACTAAGATATAAAATATCAAAATGATAAATTCTATAAATGAACTTTTTAACGGCAGAAACGGCGAATAATGGGAAGCCACCTGTCTTGCAGCAGGGCACCAGAGTTGCGGTTCACATTCGCGTCATTGGGTGACACTAGGACGGCTTCCCGCCGTCCCACGGTACGAATGTAGGCCGATTCGAGAAGGAGTCTCATCTGGTGGTGGCAGGCACGGTTCAGGATTTTGGCGTCGTCGAAGGCCGGCGTGCAGTCCCGGTGCGTGCTGAACGCTGAAGCGTTGGCTCTGGAGCGGACCGAGCCAGCCCAGCTCTCTCGGTGCTCGCGGACTCTGGTTCCAAGTTCTCGGTCCGTTTCTCCGATGTAGACGACCGGGTCACCTTCTACCCGGCAGGAGCACTTGATGCAGTAGATGACATTGCTCTCCTGCTGCTTGGGTAGACGGTGCTTGGTCCCTGCTTCTACCAACTGAAGCGAGAAGCCAACAAGATCGGCATTCAGCTCGTGTCGAAGCCGTCGCAGACCATCGGGACCCTCCTCTGTAGCCAAGCCAAGCACCGTCTACCCAAGCAGCAGGAGAGCAATGTCATCTACTGCATCAAGTGCTCCTGCCGGGTAGAAGGTGACCCGGTCGTCTACATCGGAGAAACGGACCGAGAACTTGGAACCAGAGTCCGCGAGCACCGAGAGAGCTGGGCTGGCTCGGTCCGCTCCAGAGCCAACGCTTCAGCGTTCAGCACGCACCGGGACTGCACGCCGGCCTTCGACGACGCCAAAATCCTGAACCGTGCCTGCCACCACCAGATGAGACTCCTTCTCGAATCGGCCTACATTCGTACCGTGGGACGGCGGGAAGCCGTCCTAGTGTCACCCAATGACGCGAATGTGAACCGCAACTCTGGTGCCCTGCTGCAAGACAGGTGGCTTCCCATTATTCGCCGTTTCTGCCGTTAAAAAGTTCATTTATAGAATTTATCATTTTGATATTTTATATCTTAGTCTAGTTTACTATTCGTGTTTTTGTAAAGCTTTATCTCTGCTTTAGGTACTGTTTGCACCTAATCTATGCAATTTTTTACATGTCATTAACTGTATTTTTACCTACCTGCCTATATTTTTGTATTAGATATTTTACTAGTGTGTTTTATACCCATTTTACAGGCTTTTTCTAGTAAGTGTGCATCCTGTTATTATTCACGTGTTTTCCCAGTGTTTGTATGTTTATTTCAAGACCAACTAGTTGCCTCAGAGACCCTCCTGTCCGACCCATATTTTGTTCGATCCGCACTGTACCTTCGATTCGATCTTAACATCCGATACGACTCTCGCTGACGAAGAATTGTAATACAATTCGAAAGCTCCGACCCAACGAACTCTTGTGGAGTAAGTCCGATTTCATTTTAATTCGCCAGGCATAGTGTCAGATTATCAGCAAAATTGTTCGAACAGAGCACCAAACAGCGTGAAAGATAAAATTTTTTAGACCCCTACATCCCCTGTATTGCAATTATTTCAATTTTCTAGCTGAAAGTGAGAAGCTAAAATCAAGGACAAGGAAAAGCTCTTCAATATTTTAAATACCTTTGATATGACGTCATGAGACTTTGATGTCTATGCAAATAAAATGCTTCAAAAATCATCCTTTTGAAGTCATTCTAAAAACATCATTGTTTAAAATAGGCTATTATGTTAAAAAACAAATTATAATCCCATAAAACATCAATATTGATCAAAATATTATCTAATTTTCGACGAAGTTTATTGACGTCATATAAATGTTTTATTGGCTTTTTACTATAAACAAAGCTTAAGATCAACACATAGACAAATGTGACGCATAAGTGACAATTTACTAAACAGCGTTCAGTGGGTTTTAGTGAGCAGTTCATTTTCAATTTTCAATGCACTTCAACTGCAGAAACTGTCTTTTTGTCAGGTTTGTTCGAAATTAAATTATTCAAATAATTAGGTCATGATCATTCCTTGTGGAAAGACTTTGTCCAATTTTGTTGTAAAACATATACTGGCTAGTTACAACCTAAGCTAGTGCCAGTGCTGAATAATTTTACAAATACAGTTTTGAAACCAGTTACTGTTCTGTGTCTGAATGCCTACCTATTCATTGCATCAAAACCCTTAAGGCCAGTGGCGTATCCAAGGGGGGACCCTGGGGATCCTAGGATCCCCCCTGGAGCAAAAAAAAATTTTTTTTTTACTCGAAAAAAAAATTGAAAACACTTTGAGGGCCCTTTTCACCACTTACATTTTTTTACATAATGAAAAGTATCAATTACATTTTTAGGGACCCTTTTAGGACTATCAGAGGACCCCTTTAGGCCAACGAGGGACCTTGTAGAGTAAATTAAGGGCCCTTTACAACGATCAGGACCTTCTCAGGCACATAGAGGGCCCTCTCAGACACACAGAGGGCCCTCTCAGGCTTTCAGAGGGCCCTCTCAGGCACTCAGATGGCCCTCTCAGGCACTCAGAGGGCCCTCTCAAGCACTCAGAGGGCCCTCTCAGGCCCGAGGGCCCTCTCAGACATCTCGAAGAGGTCGAAAAGAGCCCTCTGAGCTCACAGAGGGCCCTCTGAGATAAAAAAGGGCCCTCGGAGGCAACAGAGGGCCCTACAATGCAAGGCCCCCTCAGACACTCAGAGGGCCCTCTCAAGCACTCAGAGCCCAGAGGGCCCTCTCAGGCACTCAGAGGGCCCTCTCAAGCACTCAGAGGGCCCTCTCAGACATCTCGAATAGGTCGAAAAGAGCCCTCTGAGGTCAAAGAGGGTCCTCTGAGATAAAAAGGGCCCTCGGAGGCAACAGAGGGTCCTCCAATGCAACAATAGAGCCCCCTGTGGTCACCAAAGGGCCCTCTGAGGCGAATAGGGGGTCCTTTTAGGCAAACAGAGGGCCCTTTGAGGCAAACAGAGGGCCCTCTGAAGGGGCGAATAAAGGGACCCTCTGAGACGAACGGGGGACAGAGCCCAGAGGGCCCTCTCAGGCACTCAGAGGGCCCTCTCAGGCACTCAGAGGGCCCTCGCAGACCCCGAGGGCCCTCTCAGACATCTCGAATAGGTCGAAAAGAGCCCTCTGAGGTCAAAGAGGGCCCTCTGAGATAAAAAAAGGCCCTCGGAGGCCACAGAGGGCCCTCCGATGCAACAATAGGGCCCCCTGAGGTCACCAGAGGGCCCTCTGAGGCGAACAGAGGGTCCCCTGAGGCGAATAGGGGGTTCTTTCAGGAAAACAGAGGGCCCTTTGAGGCAAACAGAGGTCAGTGGGCCCCCTCAGACACCTCAAAGATGTCAAAAAAGCCCTCTGAGGTCAAAAAGGGCACTCTGAGATAAAAACGGCCCCCTCAGGCACCTCGAACATGTCAAAAAAGCTCTCTGAGGTCAAAGAGGGCCCTCTGAGATCAAAAAGGGCCCTCGGTGGCCACAGAGGGCTCTTTCATGCAACAATAGAGCCCCTGAGGTCACCAGAGGGCCCTCTGAGGCGAACAGAGGGCCCTCTCAGCCACCTCAAAGAGGGCCCTCTGAGATCGAAGAGGGTTCTCGGAGGCCACAGAGGGACCTCTGATGCAAAAATAGGGTCTGCTGAGGTCACCAGAGGGCCCTCGGAGTCGAACAGAGGGCCCTCTAAAGCGAATAGAGGGCCCTTTTAGGCAAACAGAGGCCAGAGGGCCCCCTCAGACAGCTCGAAAGGGTCAAAAAAAGCCCTCTGAGATCAAAGAGGGCCCTCTGAGATCAAAAAGGGCCCTCGGAAGCAACAGAGAGCCCTCTAATGCAAAAACAGGACCCTTTGAGGCCACTGGAGGGCCTGCTGAGGTGATTTCAGGCCACCACATGAGCCCTACGAGGTCATCAGGCCATCTCAGATCAAAGAGGGCCCTCTCAGCCATCTCAAAGAGGGCTCTCCGAGGACTCAAAGAGGTGTAATGATGCAAATATAGGGCCCTCTGAGGGCATTGGAGGGCCCTCAGAAGTGAAATGAAGGCTATTTCAGACCACCTTGGTCCTTGAGCCGTATGACAGGCCCTCTGAGGACAAAGAGTGCCCTCGGAGGCCACTGAATGGCCCTCTTAGGCTGACTCAGGGCCTTTAAGGAGAATAGAAGGCCCCTTGGGACTATTGGAGGGCCCTTTCAGGCTAACGGAGACCTTATGACGCCAGCAAAGGTCCATCTGAGGTCGATTGAGGCCTGAGGGTCCTTTAAGACCACCAGAAGGGCCCTCTGAGGGCAGGCTATGAAATAAGCATGCTTATTTTGTAAAGGGACCCTCCCACCTTCAAAAAAGTTAATGAATTGGCATGAAAGTGATGTCGCTCGGTTCAGGAAGAGCGAAAACGAATATCTACCAAATTTCATCGAAAAATATTCACCGGTTTTCAAGATATTAGACTTTTACTATTGTTTACTTTCTGGGATCTCCGCTGTTCCTAGCGACTTTATTTGAAAGTGCGGCATTTGTTGCGCGCAAAGCAGCATATACCACCGCGTGCTACCAAACGTTTTAGTAAAAGATTCAAAAATCGTTAGACCTCCGCTGACGTCACAAATTCTAAGGGGGCATACCAATGCATTAGCCCCTTAGAATCCGAAAACTGCAAGTTTGAAATTCCATATCTCCGAATTAAAGCATTTTTCGATGTTGTGAGTACCTACCCAAACCGGTATTTTCAGGCCATGGCCACCAATTTGGCTATCTCAACTCAAAACTAATGTTAAGGTGGGAGGGTCCCTTTAAAGCTCAATGTTACAGCACAAAGCGATCTGCTAAGCCTTTAATGGGCTATCAGGAGCCCATTAACCCGCGCCCTGCTGGGGGTCCTGGATTTCCACGCCCTGCTGGGGGGGGGGGGTGTTTGAACACCCCCCCCCCCTTGTAACTCGGCTCCTGGGCCACGTAGCGATACGCGGAAGGCGGCGTTCGAAAGAGCGTAAAAAATAATGACGAAATCACTTCGGTCAATTTTTTGGTCAAGTCAAAGGTCAGGTCACCAGAGGTCATTGAAGGCAAAATTTCGCCGATTTCCAGGTCAAATGTCGAAAATTTCCAAGAAGCCAACGCATAACTCGGGAACCAATAGAGCTACAGCGCCGCGGAAAAGCGCATTCGATAGCCCTATTAACGCCCTTTCTGAATAATTTTCTCAGATTTGACCTAACGTCAATGGTTTTGCCTGCAGGGGGCAAAAACTGCAAAAATAGCCGATTTTTTCGAAAACAGTTTTTCTGCAATAACTTTTGACCCAAGCATTGTACGAGCTTACTTTTACCGGCATCGTGTTCCTCTCGTCAAGACGCATCGAATGAACTATAACTTGACCTTGAAAGGTCAACTTGAAAATTTGACCTCAGGTCAAGGTCATGACCTGACCGGAAAGGGTCATGTTGCATATCAGTCGATCCGTATCGTCGAGCTGAACACATCTAAGGCGTTTTCATCGCTCTAGCATGCCTCTATCAAAAGTTATTTGCGAAAAACTGTTAGATACCATTCGTGACCTAAGATGACCTCAGGGCATAAACAAGGGTCACGGACACCATTTTCAAGTTCAGTGTGTCTAAACCACTTGTAATTCGGTGTTTGGGAGTGTTTATAACGTCTTTCATCCAAAAGAGGCGCATTTCAATTTTCTCCCATTGACTTATAATGGGGAGGTCGCAAAATTGACCTGACCTTAGGTCATCGATATCAAAATTCTGAGATATACATTTTGTACATGCTATTGCTCTTAGCAATCGCTAAGAGTTTCAAAGCGATTGGTCACTCGGTGTAGCTATGAGAGACATTGAAAGTTTTTATGAGGTGAGGTCACTTCAAGTGACCTGGTGACCTGACCTTGAATGACCTTGGTCTGAAATTTTCACAACATGTGTAGAATTGATGTATGATAAGGTGTACCAAAAACGGCGGCGCTCCGCGCCGCCGTTTTTGAGATATTCGCGAAAAACCACAGGGGGGTTGTTCAAACACCCCCCCAGCAGGGCGCGGGTTAAAGGCATAGCAAGGCTATTTTGAATACCACATGTTTTACTGCCTTGTACTGTCAAACCGAACTAGGTCAATAATTTTTCCTCTTAACCCGCGCCCCGTTGGGCTCTGCCGAGCAACGCGCCCTGTTGGGGGGTGGGGGCATTTTGGCCCCCACCCTAAGATCTCGAGAACCACGCAACCTAGCGACAAGCGGCAAACGGTGTTGGATAGCCCTATCAGGGAACTACCTTGTGACCCAATTTTATTGACCTAGGTCAAACTGATGACGTCACAGGTCAGGTCAAAGGTCCAATTTTCATCGTTTACAGGCATTTCAAGAAATGCGTTGTAAAATCGAGTAAAATGCATTTCACTGAAAATCATCGATGGGGAAATGTTCTTCAAACACATATTTTACTATTTGAGGTCACTGATACCAGGTCAGGTCACAGAGGTCAGGTCACTGGGGGGTCACAATATGAAAGTGTCGTGTGATACATGTTTTATGGTCTATTTTACATGACAAATGCGATTATGTGGGTCAGGCAGCCTTTGGGGCCAGCTTAGGTCACGTTTTGGTCAAGGTCAGGTCAAGGTCAGGTCAAGGTCAGGTCAAGGTCAGGTCAAATTAGGTCAAATTTCAAAGTAAATATTTTTACATATAATGGGTATCGAATCGATGCAGCTCGTCACGGGGAGTTCAATGGTGGTCTTTGTTTTGCCGTACGCGGTCTAGAATCGCTAAAAATTGAGTTCAAAAATTTGACGTCATAATTTTTTAACAGTGTTTTCTCTATAACTTGGCCAAAAAACGAGATATCGATCTGAAATTTGGTATGTACATAGTAGAGCGCAGGGACTATCACATATCTTCCGTCTAAAAAAAATCAAATTTTTGATTTTTTTTGGGGGGGTCAAAAACCCAAAATTTAGAAAATCCGAGCAAGCTGTTTTGTAGCGCCGCTTTTTGTCTACTAGACCATATAAAGAACTTTGAAATTGCTTGATAACTGTAGATTTGGTAAACGTTTCAAGATTGCATGTTTTTTGCTCATTTTTGCTCGAACATGACCTCAGTTTGACCTCAATAACTCCTGACCTAAGGTGACCTAAGACTTGAAATTTGGTGTGAAGGTGTCAAATTGATGCCCGGGAAGGTACTGAAATTTTTTCAGGAAAAAACCACAGGGGGGGGGGGCAAAATGGCCCCCCCCCAACGGGGCGAGGGTTAAAAAAAGCAGCCGGAGTCGCCGCCTTTTTTTAATGCTCCGGCTCTGGCTCCGGCTCCGGGCTATATTCTTTCACGGCTCCGGCTCCGGGCAAAATATGCCGGCTCCGGCGGCTCTGCAGCTCCAGCTCCGCACCCCTGCTTCTAACTCGGCTCCTGAGCCACGACACGCCAAAGGCAGCGTTTGAAGGGACGCAAACAATAATGACGAAATTACTCTGGTCACTTTTTAGATCAGGTCAAAGGTCAGTTCACATAGGTCATCCAAGGTCAAATTTCGCCAATTTTCAGATCCAATTTCGACAATTTTCAACAAACCATCGCATGACTCGGAAATGAGGAGCTACAGTGCCGGGGAAAAGCGTAGTTAATAGCTCTTTCAACACCCGTTTCGCCGTTTCCATCCTCATGACATTCAAATCCTTCTCCTCCATGCCGCAACCCCTGATCCGGGCTGGACCTGGACGGGCAACTTTATTCCATGCGGGCGGCTCCCATTGGAGCGCACTGCAGCTCCTAATCAAGCACGCTCGTAACCGGGTGCAGTGAGCACTTGGGAGGCTAGTCGGCCTGTCCTATTGGACAGGCTCAGCCCCGGTGGGCGGTGACTCACCAAGGTGCCCGCCCAGACCAATGTCTCCCTCAATTCCTTTCCTATCATCCTTCCGGCCCTGAGCTCTGTTCGCACCCCGTTTATTTATCAGCACGCTGTGAGCATGCTGCTACTTCTTGGCTCCTCATTGGTCGAATTCAAGTGGTCTATTCGTTAGACCAATGAGAGGCCAAGAAGCGCCAGCAATAACTTCCTTATATGGGGAAAATCGACAGCACGCTGATGGACACGTCAGACCGAAAGGGCCTGGGCCCAACCCAACAAAACAATCAAAGCTCTTTTAATGCTCTTTCTGTAAACTGTGCTCAGATTTGACCTAGGCCTGTTAATTCTACACATTTTAAGTCGGAACATTTTTATGTTTCTACAGCTCTGTAGGCCTGTGGCTTTTCCTGCGAAACTTCTTTTTTGTCGAAAATGGCAGAACATGACGTCATTCTGACGTCATTTGCGGTCAACCTATCATAGCCTCTGGAAAAAAATTGGTCACAATGTGTAAAATGGATGCCCAGAGAGCTCCTGAAAGTTTGGTGGCGATATTTGCAGTCATTTAGGAGATAGCTACGGAAGAGGACAGGGGCCGTTTTGCCTCCCCCCTCCCTACGGGGCGCGGGTTAACGCCCTTTCAACTCAGGCTACAAGGGCCCTTTTGCCACTTAAGGGCCCTTTCAACCCAGTCAGGCAAGGGCCCTTTTGACTGCGGATCCCCCCTGAGAGAAATCCTAGATACGCCACTGCTTAAGGCCAAGTGGACTACAAATTTGCCTACTGTAATGAAGAAACTTATGACGATTGACTCTGTTACAGACAATGCTGAGACTACCGGGCCGGCTGGCTGTGCTCGCTGCCCTAGGCAGCTGCTCTCTGCAGCGCCTCTCCAGATCTCGGCTAGTGTCAGTGTCACGGGCAGCCCAATCAGTGTGTCAGCGCCGCTCCCTGTGGACCTCACTCGCAGCTGCGGCAGCAGATGGTGGAGACAGTTTTGCCGAACCCCCGCTGACTGAGGCCGAGTGGCGGGCTCGTCTCACGCCCCACCAGTTCGCCGTGACGCGTCTCGGGGACACGGAGCCGGCGTTCTCCGGTCGCCTGCCAGCCGCCTCCTCCGCCTCGGACCAGTATGGCTGCGTGTGCTGCGGCGCGCCGCTGTTCCGCGCCGGAGACAAGTTCGACTCCGGCTCCGGGTGGCCCTCGTTCACGGCGGCGGCCGGCAGCGGCGCTGACGGACTCCCGCGCGATACCAACGTGATGATTCGGCGCGACACCAGCTACGGTATGGTGCGCGAGGAAACGCTCTGCCGCCGCTGCGGCGCCCACTTGGGTCACCTGTTCAACGACGGGCCGCCACCCACCGGTCTCCGCTACTGCATTAACGCTGCAGCGCTCACACTGCTCGACAGAGAGGCCGAATCTGGGGGCGGCGACGACAGGCCGTGAGGATAGCGTAACCAGAGCGGTGAGTAGCCAAAGATGCACCGATAGACGGGGCTGTGATATAGGTTATCCACTTAGGCTAGGCCTGCCTGAGCTGGCGGAGAGATGTACCGATGTTCTGATCGGTACGTCTGGCGCAAAATGTCTGAGGGACTGTAGTGTATTAAAAAATCATTAATGATAAAGCATATACCTCTTCAATGCAATACGTTTTATTTGTGCGGTGTGTTCGTTGTGTACATGAAAACACTAGGTTTTGAATGAGACTAACGTTCAGGCATCGTATGATATTTAGATCGAGGATGCCCACAAATTGTCGTCAACCGAATTCTAGTAGGCGCTCCTTGGAGGTTATTGAACACATGTAACAAGAACACATATACTCGTGAACGTTACAATTGCCCACGTTTAATACACATATCATCATCAGCTGCATTTGTTTCGTATTCACACTGTCACAGAGGCAGGCTCCCGTCCTTCACGGCCCCCGCTTTTTGCAAAATCCGGAGCTGGCAGCTAGCCCGGCGACTGTGCGCGCCCTGTACCCGGAGCTGTCAGCTCTCGACTGCGTGGGATGGTCTGAAGAGGATGGTGACCCACTTCGCTGATGCTCTGAGAGCAGAGAGACGCGCCAGCCAGGTGCAATTATCGTGCCGTCCAACACCCTCGGCGCCAGTGTAATGCAATCACGCCCCCTGCCGACGGTCTCCCAGAACCGGTGTGAGTTGTGCGCCCACCACCCGCCTAACGTGCCCAAACGACAGACTTGCTTCCGACGTAAAATAATCAGGTGGGCTGGGTACGCTTAACTTTGGAGTAAAATTGGTCATCTGGACGTTGCGCTAGACGTTATTGCTGTTCAGCCCTTGTGTGGGTGGAAATCGCCAGTCGAAATAATCGTGAAATGAATTTTTAATGCTGGTTTTAGTTGTAACATGCTAAAAGAAAGAAGAAAAACGTTGTTGCAATCACAGATAGTGGCCCTAGATGTCTAGCGTTTCTGGCTTCGATCTTGTAGCATATCCTGAGTTTGGATTAGGGTCTTTAAGTAATAAAGTGTTTTCTTTGCATTTTCTACTGCTTCCCTGTAATTAATTTCGCATCAATTCTTTTCATAATGCCTGCGCAGTTGGCATCTCCGTAGTTTTGTCCGAGTGAATGCTGATGAATACCGCTTGTCAAAGTTCAAACTAGCTTAGCGCAGTGAGACATGAATATCTGATCTGCATTTTAGATAGAACTATATTTGCGCCGTATAACTACCAGGTCTTAGCTGAAGTTTTACCTGCGCAACCGGTGTCTGGTTTCTGCACCGTCAGTAGGCGTATTCTCATTGGCCTCAATTCGGCCTCAAGTGGACCCGCGGCCTTAAGCCTATCGGTGCGTCTCGTACCAACGCAACGTACGACGCATACACAGGAAGCAATGAACGATTTCCAGCATCTTATATTTCGCCGTTAAAATTTTCAGTGAGTTTGACGGTACCGATGACCCGTGACATTTCCATTGCATGATTTATCGCTCACTTAACCGTTAGCCACGTGTAAACGCGACTTTGCCTGTTCAGTTATTCATTTTTCTCGGTCTGGTGGTGACTCGGAGCGAGCTCGGCTCGGCGTGTGTGGTAAGCGGCCGTTGCTAGCTGAAGTATGACCCGTCCGCCCCCGCCGCGGACCGGATGGCCAGACCTGGAGCGGACAGCAGCTGCCCTGCGGGACTGTGGGCGGCCGGAGTCCCGCGCGGCTCCCGGCGCCGGGCTGTGTCGCGTTGCCAGGCTGTGGGCGGGCGCCGGCTCCGCTGAGCAGTCTGTCTGCCGTCTGCCCACTCAGACTGTCGGGCGTGGCTGTAACACGCTTATGGGAGCCGCGATGGCGTCCGACAGGTGTTGCGCCCACGCGCATGTCTCGTTTGCTGGCCAAATTGAACGTCTCTCGTCGTCTGGCGCAGTGCGGGTATTGGAGCGTGAATTCAAACGGACGGGTGGGCCGTGGAGTCAGACTGGCGAGGCGTCGAGTCAGACTGGCTGAACATGAAGTGTGACTCATGACTTACGGGTGGCTAGTGGATTGACTACACGCATGTAAATGCCTCGAGACGGGGGACGCCAGGACGTCGATCTAGACTTGCGACATTCTACGAAAGAAACGTGTCTGTCCACCCCTCACGGCTCACAGACACTTTGTGACAGCACTTGTTCAACCATTAGCGTTACCATGCGCTGAGGTCATGTTTATTTTGGTGGCTGTTTTATGTCTCGCCGCGCCACGTGGCGACTGTCGTATATGAACCGTCAGGACGGCGCCGGTCGGCGGCCGGCCTGTAGAGGAGGGTGTCTGGGCGTCTGTTCGTCGCCGTCTCCCGGCCCGGCCTGTGCGAGCCCAGTCCGCTCCAGTGTTGAGAACATCAGAGTCGCTAACCGAAAGGTGAGAACCGATGGGGTAAAATGGAGCGGGATTCTGTCACTTGTTGGCGAATGTGTGTGAATTTGTTGCGATCATGCCGTTGATTGGAGCGGTGGTGCTCATGTCGAGCGATTAGCGGGAAAATGATCGGCTGAATGGTGTTGCTCATCGTGTTTTCGCATCATACCTTTTTGTTGCATCCTGTTTGTGTTAGGTCTCTGACACCTTCTCTTTTCCTTCCGTTTCTTCTCTCCCCTCTCGTTCTCCCTCTCTCCCTCCTTTTCTCCCTGTCGCCCTTCCATCTTTCTACCAGCAGCACAATGGCGGCGCGGTTTTTCGAGGGTACGAACCACGCGGAGCTCTATGTGCGCTACCGGCCCGCCACGCCTTCCACGCTGGTCCAGCTGGTGTGCGACTACATCAAAGAGAAGGTGTGTGTGGCGAGTGATAGATATCCAGTGTTCTAGGTGGGTCACTCACTCGACCGGCTGTGTTCGTCCGTCCCTCCATAATCCTCGGTCTTGATAGTGGTTGATTGTTTTGGACGGGGCTCAAAGTAAATGATAGATTCAGTTTTTAGCTGAATGTGTTACTTGGTAGCTTTATGACTTATGCCTGATCATCTGATGGTTTTGCGAGTGTCAAATGCTGATGCATCGTTGAATGAGGCGGACGATTAGAGCGGTTGGAGGCGCACGGGCTCCGCGCGACATCCTGCTTTGTTTTAGAGACGTCCTACCACTGTATCCGTGGGCCAGGACCACTCCACCAGACGCACAGTTGACCCTCCGGCCCCCTCAGGTGCCCGGCCCGCTGCGGCAGGCCGTGGACGTCGGCTGCGGCTCCGGCCAGGGCACGCAGCTGCTGGCGCCGCACTTTGAGCACGTGCTGGGCACGGACGTCAGCCCGGCACAGGTGGCCAAGGCAGAAGCCGCCCCCGGGGCCGACAACATCGCGTACAGGTATGGTGTGCCGGATCCGGTCGTGTAGCAACTGAGCTCTCCTTCAGCTGTGCTGTCGGTCGTAAGCTGAGAGTGATTTGTGGGTGGATCCGGGTCCTGAATAGTGTTACCTAATACCTACACAGTATACACTTCGTTCGGCAGTCGAGAGATACGAGTAAACGAATGAGTCGCAGCATGGGCAATTATCATGTGGGCAACTTTGCTTTGGGTCAGCGATTGAATGCGATTTTTCAACTATCTCAGAATTTTTCGCACATGTATAATGATTGCTCGCCGTCAAACTCACCCCTACCTCCTGATACCATCAACGCTCAGCCTCCAGACTAGCAACGTCAACGCGGACATTGCCCAACCTCCGACACCGATAACCCAACCCCACCGTGACCGTTTCACCCCAGCGTTCACCGCTCAACCCCCACCCCTCCGGCAGTGTATCCCCGGCAGAGGCTATCGCCCTGTCGTCGGACAGCTGTGACCTGGTGATGGCCGTCCAGGCGTGCCATTGGTTCGACATGAGCACCTTCCTGCCGGAGTCGGGCCGCGTGCTCAGACCGGGCGGCGCCCTGGCTCTGGTCGGCTATAGACTGCCGGCGCCGGTCTGGCAGGGCCGGGAGAGACAGGATGTCAGGGAGCTCCTGGCTGAGGTGGGTCCGAGGTTATGCCGGCTGTCGTTGTCGTTACAGTCACACGCTTTATTCAAGTACAGGTCTGCCGTCGTAAATAAACAGTAGATTTGATGAACGTCATGCGACGAGGAATTCATACATTTGTTGCCTCTGCTGGGTGATTTTTGTTTTGAAATGTTTATTAGGGTGTTTCATTACACTATGGTAAAATAATGTTGGTTCAAAACTCAGCCATATCGACTTTGCCCCAACTCTACCCGTAAAACTGAATCGATTGATACGCTTGAAACCCAAATTTAAGTATATTTAGGGGTCGCACACTTTTGTCACCAAAACTCGTTACACAGAGAAGGGGGCACATCCTTCCTTGGTGCGCTTGGGCAGCGCCTTCCGGTTGAGTTCCACGACTCGCAGGCCATCGTTGTTAGGGCCCTGCCGCCCTCAATAGACCGTTGCAGAGCCCTCAGATGCCAGCATAGCCCCCGCAGCCTGGTTGTGTTGGGGCCCTCAGAGGCCGTCGCTGGGCCGCCTGAAGCCAAATGGGCCTTCAGACTTGAGTTGGGTCTAGGGCCGTCACGACTCACGAGGGCCCTCAGAGACCGTCGTAGAGACCCTCAGGGGCCAGTGGGGCCCCTGGAGTCCTGTGGGACCCTCAGCGGTCGTCATGAGGGCCCTTAGTGGTCGTTATAGGGCCCCAGGGGACAGAGTTCGTCGTGAGAGCCCACATAGATCATCGTAAGGGCCCTCAGAGGCCGTCATAGGGGCCCTCAGAGGCCAGCGTGGCCCCTGGAGTCTCTGTGGGACCCTCAGCGGTCGTCACGAGGGCCCTTAGTGGCCGTTGTAGGGCCCCAGGGGACAAAGCCCTCAGGTGGGAGCCCTCAGAGATCGTCATAAAAGGGCCCTCTGAGGCCGTCGTGGGGGCCCTCAGATGCCGTGTGGAGCACCAAACGCGGCTCGGGACAGTGGCGTATCCAAGGGGGGACCCTGGGGATCCTAGGATCCCCCCTGGAGCAAAAAAAAATTTTTTTTTTACTCGAAAAAAAAATTGAAAACACTTTGAGGGCCCTTTTCACCACTTACATTTTTTTACATAATGAAAAGTATCAATTACATTTTTAGGGACCCTTTTAGGACTATCAGAGGACCCCTTTAGGCCAACGAGGGACCTTGTAGAGTAAATTAAGGGCCCTTTACAACGATCAGGACCTTCTCAGGCACATAGAGGGCCCTCTCAGACACACAGAGGGCCCTCTCAGGCTTTCAGAGGGCCCTCTCAGGCACTCAGATGGCCCTCTCAGGCACTCAGAGGGCCCTCTCAAGCACTCAGAGGGCCCTCTCAGGCCCGAGGGCCCTCTCAGACATCTCGAAGAGGTCGAAAAGAGCCCTCTGAGCTCACAGAGGGCCCTCTGAGATAAAAAAGGGCCCTCGGAGGCAACAGAGGGCCCTACAATGCAAGGCCCCCTCAGACACTCAGAGGGCCCTCTCAAGCACTCAGAGCCCAGAGGGCCCTCTCAGGCACTCAGAGGGCCCTCTCAAGCACTCAGAGGGCCCTCTCAGACATCTCGAATAGGTCGAAAAGAGCCCTCTGAGGTCAAAGAGGGTCCTCTGAGATAAAAAGGGCCCTCGGAGGCAACAGAGGGTCCTCCAATGCAACAATAGAGCCCCCTGTGGTCACCAAAGGGCCCTCTGAGGCGAATAGGGGGTCCTTTTAGGCAAACAGAGGGCCCTTTGAGGCAAACAGAGGGCCCTCTGAAGGGGCGAATAAAGGGACCCTCTGAGACGAACGGGGGACAGAGCCCAGAGGGCCCTCTCAGGCACTCAGAGGGCCCTCTCAGGCACTCAGAGGGCCCTCGCAGACCCCGAGGGCCCTCTCAGACATCTCGAATAGGTCGAAAAGAGCCCTCTGAGGTCAAAGAGGGCCCTCTGAGATAAAAAAGGCCCTCGGAGGCCACAGAGGGCCCTCCGATGCAACAATAGGGCCCCCTGAGGTCACCAGAGGGCCCTCTGAGGCGAACAGAGGGTCCCCTGAGGCGAATAGGGGGTTCTTTCAGGAAAACAGAGGGCCCTTTGAGGCAAACAGAGGTCAGTGGGCCCCCTCAGACACCTCAAAGATGTCAAAAAAGCCCTCTGAGGTCAAAAAGGGCACTCTGAGATAAAAACGGCCCCCTCAGGCACCTCGAACATGTCAAAAAAGCTCTCTGAGGTCAAAGAGGGCCCTCTGAGATCAAAAAGGGCCCTCGGTGGCCACAGAGGGCTCTTTCATGCAACAATAGAGCCCCTGAGGTCACCAGAGGGCCCTCTGAGGCGAACAGAGGGCCCTCTCAGCCACCTCAAAGAGGGCCCTCTGAGATCGAAGAGGGTTCTCGGAGGCCACAGAGGGACCTCTGATGCAAAAATAGGGTCTGCTGAGGTCACCAGAGGGCCCTCGGAGTCGAACAGAGGGCCCTCTAAAGCGAATAGAGGGCCCTTTTAGGCAAACAGAGGCCAGAGGGCCCCCTCAGACAGCTCGAAAGGGTCAAAAAAAGCCCTCTGAGATCAAAGAGGGCCCTCTGAGATCAAAAAGGGCCCTCGGAAGCAACAGAGAGCCCTCTAATGCAAAAACAGGACCCTTTGAGGCCACTGGAGGGCCTGCTGAGGTGATTTCAGGCCACCACATGAGCCCTACGAGGTCATCAGGCCATCTCAGATCAAAGAGGGCCCTCTCAGCCATCTCAAAGAGGGCTCTCCGAGGACTCAAAGAGGTGTAATGATGCAAATATAGGGCCCTCTGAGGGCATTGGAGGGCCCTCAGAAGTGAAATGAAGGCTATTTCAGACCACCTTGGTCCTTGAGCCGTATGACAGGCCCTCTGAGGACAAAGAGTGCCCTCGGAGGCCACTGAATGGCCCTCTTAGGCTGACTCAGGGCCTTTAAGGAGAATAGAAGGCCCCTTGGGACTATTGGAGGGCCCTTTCAGGCTAACGGAGACCTTATGACGCCAGCAAAGGTCCATCTGAGGTCGATTGAGGCCTGAGGGTCCTTTAAGACCACCAGAAGGGCCCTCTGAGGGCAGGCTATGAAATAAGCATGCTTATTTTGTAAAGGGACCCTCCCACCTTCAAAAAAGTTAATGAATTGGCATGAAAGTGATGTCGCTCGGTTCAGGAAGAGCGAAAACGAATATCTACCAAATTTCATCGAAAAATATTCACCGGTTTTCAAGATATTAGACTTTTACTATTGTTTACTTTCTGGGATCTCCGCTGTTCCTAGCGACTTTATTTGAAAGTGCGGCATTTGTTGCGCGCAAAGCAGCATATACCACCGCGTGCTACCAAACGTTTTAGTAAAAGATTCAAAAATCGTTAGACCTCCGCTGACGTCACAAATTCTAAGGGGGCATACCAATGCATTAGCCCCTTAGAATCCGAAAACTGCAAGTTTGAAATTCCATATCTCCGAATTAAAGCATTTTTCGATGTTGTGAGTACCTACCCAAACCGGTATTTTCAGGCCATGGCCACCAATTTGGCTATCTCAACTCAAAACTAATGTTAAGGTGGGAGGGTCCCTTTAAAGCTCAATGTTACAGCACAAAGCGATCTGCTAAGCCTTTAATGGGCTATCAGGAGCCCATTAACCCGCGCCCTGCTGGGGGTCCTGGATTTCCACGCCCTGCTGGGGGGGGGGGGGGTGTTTGAACACCCCCCCCCCCCTTGTAACTCGGCTCCTGGGCCACGTAGCGATACGCGGAAGGCGGCGTTCGAAAGAGCGTAAAAAATAATGACGAAATCACTTCGGTCAATTTTTTGGTCAAGTCAAAGGTCAGGTCACCAGAGGTCATTGAAGGCAAAATTTCGCCGATTTCCAGGTCAAATGTCGAAAATTTCCAAGAAGCCAACGCATAACTCGGGAACCAATAGAGCTACAGCGCCGCGGAAAAGCGCATTCGATAGCCCTATTAACGCCCTTTCTGAATAATTTTCTCAGATTTGACCTAACGTCAATGGTTTTGCCTGCAGGGGGCAAAAACTGCAAAAATAGCCGATTTTTTTCGAAAACAGTTTTTCTGCAATAACTTTTGACCCAAGCATTGTACGAGCTTACTTTTACCGGCATCGTGTTCCTCTCGTCAAGACGCATCGAATGAACTATAACTTGACCTTGAAAGGTCAACTTGAAAATTTGACCTCAGGTCAAGGTCATGACCTGACCGGAAAGGGTCATGTTGCATATCAGTCGATCCGTATCGTCGAGCTGAACACATCTAAGGCGTTTTCATCGCTCTAGCATGCCTCTATCAAAAGTTATTTGCGAAAAACTGTTAGATACCATTCGTGACCTAAGATGACCTCAGGGCATAAACAAGGGTCACGGACACCATTTTCAAGTTCAGTGTGTCTAAACCACTTGTAATTCGGTGTTTGGGAGTGTTTATAACGTCTTTCATCCAAAAGAGGCGCATTTCAATTTTCTCCCATTGACTTATAATGGGGAGGTCGCAAAATTGACCTGACCTTAGGTCATCGATATCAAAATTCTGAGATATACATTTTGTACATGCTATTGCTCTTAGCAATCGCTAAGAGTTTCAAAGCGATTGGTCACTCGGTGTAGCTATGAGAGACATTGAAAGTTTTTATGAGGTGAGGTCACTTCAAGTGACCTGGTGACCTGACCTTGAATGACCTTGGTCTGAAATTTTCACAACATGTGTAGAATTGATGTATGATAAGGTGTACCAAAAACGGCGGCGCTCCGCGCCGCCGTTTTTGAGATATTCGCGAAAAACCACAGGGGGGTTGTTCAAACACCCCCCCAGCAGGGCGCGGGTTAAAGGCATAGCAAGGCTATTTTGAATACCACATGTTTTACTGCCTTGTACTGTCAAACCGAACTAGGTCAATAATTTTTCCTCTTAACCCGCGCCCCGTTGGGCTCTGCCGAGCAACGCGCCCTGTTGGGGGGTGGGGGCATTTTGGCCCCCACCCTAAGATCTCGAGAACCACGCAACCTAGCGACAAGCGGCAAACGGTGTTGGATAGCCCTATCAGGGAACTACCTTGTGACCCAATTTTATTGACCTAGGTCAAACTGATGACGTCACAGGTCAGGTCAAAGGTCCAATTTTCATCGTTTACAGGCATTTCAAGAAATGCGTTGTAAAATCGAGTAAAATGCATTTCACTGAAAATCATCGATGGGGAAATGTTCTTCAAACACATATTTTACTATTTGAGGTCACTGATACCAGGTCAGGTCACAGAGGTCAGGTCACTGGGGGGTCACAATATGAAAGTGTCGTGTGATACATGTTTTATGGTCTATTTTACATGACAAATGCGATTATGTGGGTCAGGCAGCCTTTGGGGCCAGCTTAGGTCACGTTTTGGTCAAGGTCAGGTCAAGGTCAGGTCAAGGTCAGGTCAAGGTCAGGTCAAATTAGGTCAAATTTCAAAGTAAATATTTTTACATATAATGGGTATCGAATCGATGCAGCTCGTCACGGGGAGTTCAATGGTGGTCTTTGTTTTGCCGTACGCGGTCTAGAATCGCTAAAAATTGAGTTCAAAAATTTGACGTCATAATTTTTTAACAGTGTTTTCTCTATAACTTGGCCAAAAAACGAGATATCGATCTGAAATTTGGTATGTACATAGTAGAGCGCAGGGACTATCACATATCTTCCGTCTAAAAAAAATCAAATTTTTGATTTTTTTTGGGGGGGTCAAAAACCCAAAATTTAGAAAATCCGAGCAAGCTGTTTTGTAGCGCCGCTTTTTGTCTACTAGACCATATAAAGAACTTTGAAATTGCTTGATAACTGTAGATTTGGTAAACGTTTCAAGATTGCATGTTTTTTGCTCATTTTTGCTCGAACATGACCTCAGTTTGACCTCAATAACTCCTGACCTAAGGTGACCTAAGACTTGAAATTTGGTGTGAAGGTGTCAAATTGATGCCCGGGAAGGTACTGAAATTTTTTCAGGAAAAAACCACAGGGGGGGGGGCAAAATGGCCCCCCCCCCAACGGGGCGAGGGTTAAAAAAAGCAGCCGGAGTCGCCGCCTTTTTTTAATGCTCCGGCTCTGGCTCCGGCTCCGGGCTATATTCTTTCACGGCTCCGGCTCCGGGCAAAATATGCCGGCTCCGGCGGCTCTGCAGCTCCAGCTCCGCACCCCTGCTTCTAACTCGGCTCCTGAGCCACGACACGCCAAAGGCAGCGTTTGAAGGGACGCAAACAATAATGACGAAATTACTCTGGTCACTTTTTAGATCAGGTCAAAGGTCAGTTCACATAGGTCATCCAAGGTCAAATTTCGCCAATTTTCAGATCCAATTTCGACAATTTTCAACAAACCATCGCATGACTCGGAAATGAGGAGCTACAGTGCCGGGGAAAAGCGTAGTTAATAGCTCTTTCAACACCCGTTTCGCCGTTTCCATCCTCATGACATTCAAATCCTTCTCCTCCATGCCGCAACCCCTGATCCGGGCTGGACCTGGACGGGCAACTTTATTCCATGCGGGCGGCTCCCATTGGAGCGCACTGCAGCTCCTAATCAAGCACGCTCGTAACCGGGTGCAGTGAGCACTTGGGAGGCTAGTCGGCCTGTCCTATTGGACAGGCTCAGCCCCGGTGGGCGGTGACTCACCAAGGTGCCCGCCCAGACCAATGTCTCCCTCAATTCCTTTCCTATCATCCTTCCGGCCCTGAGCTCTGTTCGCACCCCGTTTATTTATCAGCACGCTGTGAGCATGCTGCTACTTCTTGGCTCCTCATTGGTCGAATTCAAGTGGTCTATTCGTTAGACCAATGAGAGGCCAAGAAGCGCCAGCAATAACTTCCTTATATGGGGAAAATCGACAGCACGCTGATGGACACGTCAGACCGAAAGGGCCTGGGCCCAACCCAACAAAACAATCAAAGCTCTTTTAATGCTCTTTCTGTAAACTGTGCTCAGATTTGACCTAGGCCTGTTAATTCTACACATTTTAAGTCGGAACATTTTTATGTTTCTACAGCTCTGTAGGCCTGTGGCTTTTCCTGCGAAACTTCTTTTTTGTCGAAAATGGCAGAACATGACGTCATTCTGACGTCATTTGCGGTCAACCTATCATAGCCTCTGGAAAAAAATTGGTCACAATGTGTAAAATGGATGCCCAGAGAGCTCCTGAAAGTTTGGTGGCGATATTTGCAGTCATTTAGGAGATAGCTACGGAAGAGGACAGGGGCCGTTTTGCCTCCCCCCTCCCTACGGGGCGCGGGTTAACGCCCTTTCAACTCAGGCTACAAGGGCCCTTTTGCCACTTAAGGGCCCTTTCAACCCAGTCAGGCAAGGGCCCTTTTGACTGCGGATCCCCCCTGAGAGAAATCCTAGATACGCCACTGGCTCGGGACACTTCTAGCCGGTGTGGAGGCCCCGACTAGCATGGGGCGCTCCTGACCATAAATAGACACCCCGGATGATTCCACATCAGTGTTCGTTTCCCGATCACTTGTTTTCAGGAGAAAATGTATTGGATGGTGCGACGGGCCCCTTGTATGGATTTTGGGGGTGCAAAAAAGATATGTTTGCACCCCCATGTTTTTCGATGGGGGTGCAGCTGCACCCCCTGCACCCCCTATTCCGCCGCCACTGCCTGGCTTTCTCAACCAAATCAGTTCGCAGGAAGACTACTCATGTTACGGCCAGAAACAAAATCAGAGATGAAAAGTCGCAGAAATGTGCGACCTCTAAACATCATCAGAATGAAGTGAAATTTTACACAGAAACTTGTGAGCAGATGACATTTGAGGGGAACATCGATATGATTCGCAATATGGCACTTTGAAAATGTGAAACACCCTTTTATCGCAGGTAATGTTAAGCTTTCCTTAAGTTCATGATATGTGTGTAGCTTGTCTAGATTTTATGCTTTCATGGACTATTACGTAGATTATGAGTACATACAACTGGTGTCTGACTTGCTCCTGCGCTAGCGGGGATGCAAAAAAAGACTTGGTCCTGGCCTCGTTCGGTCCGCTGACCTCCCCGTTCCCATCTCCACTCTCCAGTCGTACGTGTCGGGTCTGGCCGGCTGGATCCAGCAGGGCAGCGTGGACACATACATCAACGGCTACTCGGACAGCAGGTTCACGTCGCCACTGGAAGACCACAGGAGGTGAGGGGCCTGTCCTGGGAGGGAAGGCTGTCCATTGCCGCCGATTGACCACAGGGTGGCCTGTCCGGGGGAGGGGGGGGGGGGCTGTCACGTTGCCGCTGATTGACAATGGGTGGCCTGCTCGGGGGATTGTCCCACCACTGGGAGTAAGCCACTCGCTGCAATCGTCTACTATATAGTTTCCGATGCATTGTGAATTTATTTACTTGAGGCGTAGCTCACTCTATTTGAGCACATGGGGTAGGCAAAAGACTTCGGAATTCATGTAAATTTGAACTACAGTAAACTCAGTTTGCCGAATCCTGGCACCATGTTCACAGGTAGAGCAGAAAATGATAATAATTTAATAATATCGTTTGCAGTGAGATCATTATTCTGCAACAGCAGCCGTTGAGCTCAACCCGGTTTGATTGATGCTCCGTCTGATGTAGCAACGGTATTATTCCGTGGCATACGGTGCTATTCGTGATACCGATAGTCGGTGTCGTAATAAAGGATATGCCTTTACCGACAATGCAACAACCCGTAACCTTTACAGCATCCTTGTCACCTTGTGCAACTGTCTAAGCTTGTCATAACTTCTCAGGGACGAGCCTACCTCGTGTGACCTGAGTTGACCTGATTCGTCGTAGTGACTAGTCGACCTATAACTTTAACAAGTCTGTTTAGTAGTCTTACCTTGTTATGACCTCTCATTAAGGATGAGTCGAGACCCTCTGTGACTTCTTGAACTGCAATCTGAATTTTTCCTCTCAGGGTTGGGCGGACCTTTTGTGACCTAGATAACGGCCTGACTCTTCTCAGGGACGAGTCGACCTTCTGTGACCCTAAATGACCTTGTCTCTTCTCAGGGACGAGTCGACCTTTTGTGACCTGGACGGCACGGTCTCCGACATGGTTGGCTACTGCAGCACTTGGTCGGGGTTCCAGAACATGGTGGCCGACAAGGGCCAGGAGGCCGGACAAAAGTTCCTGGATGACATCCAGAACAGGTAAGTCATGCAATGTTTGTGTGATTGTCGCCTCACGAATATGGCCGAGCGTTTTGCTCGTCATGAGATGCTTGTTTTTCATTCATAATCATGATTTCAAGTTATAACGACGTCTTTGGCGCTCTATTCGTCTTATTACAACCCAGCGCGCTACCCTTTGCTTTGTTAGTCGCATTAAAGCCCATAGGTTCGTTCCAATGTCCGCCCGTCTCACCGCGCCTATGACTGTGTCGTGATATTGGACCCTGCTACGTGATGTTCTCTGACCCTTCCTTGCGACCCCCCCCCCCCTCCTTCAGGGTTCTCGCTCTGCTGGGTGACGGTGCCACTCCGGAAAGTCCAATCGTTATCCGGTTTCGATACTTCGTACTTCTGAGCCGAAAACCAGTGGATACCAAGTAACGATAGAACGGACATCGCAACGCGCAGATGGAATGGAATGAAGGCATGATTTGTACAATTTGTGTCCGTTGCCTGACAAAGTTAGGGTAGTTGACACGCCCGATATCATTATCAGGTTAAATATGAAATTGACAGATAGTAAGCATGTGCATTGCTGACTTAACCAGGTGTGTCCTTACACTTTGCGATCGAAGGGCAATGCCGTTACGAATAGCACGCCCCATTTTTTGCATCCTTTTTCTGCTTTTACGCTTTGTATGCCAGCTCGCCATGACATCTCGCCAACTGTCACGGAAGACAATGAACAAATATAACGTGTATTACAAAAAAAAAACACAATAATAAATAACAATACACGTCAAAGTGAGATTGCACAAACGGCCTTCGTGATGGGGATTTTTGTAGATAATAACCACCTTGACATAATCTCAATGATGACTGCAGTACCGATGAACGCGGGAAAATGGGACGGTTCACTCTGCAGTTTGTCCCCAATGTGATTAGCTTGAGGCCTGTCTACTGGTAACTCGGACAACCGTCAGACAACATTTTGCAACTACAAGTAGCGCTGTCCTCATCACCCTTAAATACACCCATCGAAACTAGCACAATAATGCCAAGCAATGCGAAACAATATCAAATCGCCTTCAGCAAAACTCAGTGCAGCGCAGCGGGAGACGGTCCCCGTCGAACGACCGTGCACCCCTCGCGCTCCCCCGCCGCTCCGGAGCTGCTCCGAAGGCCGCCAAGCTCCTGCTTCACATGGCGCTCCCAAAGTCATCCTCATCTGATACATTAATCAGTGGACACGCGGGGAACTGTCCCTCGCAGCTCTCACTGTACCGCTCAAAGTCAGTCATCGACGGCAGAAACTGGTAGAACGACTCGAACAGAGAGCCATCTACCGAGCGCGCCGCGAAGCTCTGTTTGACGGCGCTCTGCGCGCCCCACACTACCGGCGACATTTTGCAGATGAGCAGCTGCACGCAGGCCGTGTCGTTACCGGTACGGTCGATCAGGCTCTCGATCATGGTTTTGGGGAGGGAGGGCTGCTGGGCGCGCTGGACGATGGCGGAGAGGTGGCCGACGTTTTCGTCCATCAGCCAATCGAGCAGGGCGGCGCCGGAGCGACTCTCCACTGTGTTCGATTCTCCCAGCATCGAGTTGGTGATCTGCGGGGGTGGGGTGGTGGTCAGACGGTCAGACGGCTAGAGGTCAGACGGTCAGAGGCTGGCTGTCAATGGTCAGGGGTCAGGGTCAGCGGTCAGAGGTCAGAGGTCAGCGGTTAGAGATCAGAGGTCAGCGGTTAGAGAAAAGACATCAGAGGTCTGTGGTCATGGTCAGCGGCCAAAGATCAGAGGTGAGACGCTTTTGGCTCACACGAACTTTGTTTCAACCAGAACCGAGCGTTATATTGTATTTAATAGTCTTCCCCAATCCCCGTAGTGCGCGCCACAAAGGCCTGCTAGAAACGTTTCCGCAAAACCAATGTTAGTCCCGTGGGAAATAACCTGCTCTCATAAAAGTGCATTAGCGCGTACTAATGACTGCTGCCGGAGACTCATTTCTTTTTTTAATTATCTATGTAAATAGAATCCTCCCTTGGCGCCGCTCCGAACGTCACTTTCCATATTTCTATGCCACCGAACACAGCACCTATTGAGCGCACAGTTTCCAATATGGGTGTTTACGAATTCGGTGCACGAGGTCTACATTCCTCGGCTCGGTATTAGTTGCAGTGTCGAACTGTTGTTGCCGCTGGCAGCCGAAAAACAACCCGCGGTGTTGGCCGCCGGCGGGGCTGTTGCCGAGCCGTTTACAGTCGGGAGTGTAATTACTCCCTCTCTGTGCGGGGCAGGGCCCGGCGTCACCGTCACCGTCCAATATTGGTCGGCGGATGATGGAGCGTCGTTGGACTCCGGCGCCGGAAACAGCGCCCTCCCTTCCCGTGATTCCTCTGCCATTTCAACGCTTCGAGGCGCCGTTAAAGTGGCATGTGGCTGGGTTTGCTATTTAATGACATCAGGATGCGCTCAAAGGTAGCTGTTTTCCATACCTCCTCAACAGCCGTTTAAACCGCGCCCCGGTGGGGGGGGGGGGCTATTTTTGTCCCCCTCCAAACTTTTCCATATATCTTCAGAAGTAAAGACCACCACTCGCCGTGACGAGATGCATCGAATCGACATCCATTTTATGCAAAAATATCAACTTTGAAAGGACCTTTTTTGACCTGACATTGACCTGACCTCCACCAGGAAATGACCTAAACCGTTCCTGATAGTCTTATAACCAACACTATTTAGTTGGAAATGAAAAATTGGACTAAAACATGCATCGCACAGCCCTAGTAAAATTGGGTTCATATGCTGACCCTTGGTGACCTGACCTGTGGCCTGACCTGGTATTGTCAGTGACCTCTAATAGCAACATATGTGCTAGGCAGCTGACGCCCTATCGCTGATTTTCGATAAAATGTGTTTTACTCGATGTTGTAGCGCATTCCCTAGAAGACTCGTGAACGGCAAAACATTTCATCTTTTACCTGACCTTTGACGTCATCGGTGACCCCGAGGTCAATAAAATTGGATTTCCTTCGACAAATTTGATAGGGCTTTCGATCATCGTTTGAATTTTGCGGATCCGTCCAGTAGTTTCGGAGATACGAGGGGGAAAATAGCCCCCCTCCCCCCACCACCACTGGTCGCGTTATAAACAGATCCCACCGGGCGCAGGTTAAAATTGGCCTGATGAAATGTTCATGTGTAATGGTTGGCTTTAAGTGAAATGGTTTTACTCTATGTAGCAGTCAGCCATCGCATCTTGGGCCAATTGATATCCGTCGACATCAGTAGGTCTCTTTGGAACGAAAATCCGTTCTCATTCTCTTGGTCGGTAGGTACGGACCAAACCAACTAATAACCATAGGCCATGCAGCTTCGATATTCCAAACGTAACTGATAATGCTTCTCAGTGAATTCGGAAGCCTGCAGGATATGAAAGCAACGATATTTGCATTTTGAAACAGTGTAATTGCCTCGTCTTAGCGGCAAACTGCGCCCGCAAGCAACGCAAAGCGTTGCGGTACAGCATAACCTCCAGGCGTTTCTGCTAGCGCCATCTATGCACAGGATTATAAGCTGTGCTGTGCCGCTGTTCTGCCCCGCAGGCGACGCTCAGATCCTGGCATCACAGGCCGTCTGAACGGGTACAGGCGGTGACGCAACTCAATGTTTACGCCGTGTTTCATTCCCCTGGGGCTCGGACGATATTTTTAACTGCGAGATTGCCAGTGACGCATTGCCTAAAAATACGGCATCTCATTTACATTTGCGCAAAGCAACTCCTTGGGCCTAACGGAATGGGCGTGGGCTGTAACATCAAACCGAATGCGCCATTTATAGTTGTACGCGGTCGTCGCTGTTGCAAAGGCCGGCAATCTGATCCAGGCTAACTTAATCACCCACTGCCAAACAACGTCAAGAAGCTGGTAATGCATGGCTCTGGTGCATCTAGGTTTTCATACCAATTTTATCACGCATTTTCGACACCAACTTAAGTAAAGCACGACCTCAAGCATAGCTTCTTTGCAACTGATTTCCATGGTAATTTGCCAACACATTTAAGTTGTGTATTTGTTTATCATTCTGAGCCGTCAGTCTTCTCAAGAATTAAAAAGTCTAAGTAGGTACTTTGCCCCACTCCTACCCCGTTTGAAGTTGGGTTGAATCTTCGCTGTTTTTAGAGACATACGTGTATAAGCATACAAATTACAAAAGATTTGTCTTTTATTCTTAGTTTTATAACTGAGCGTTGCAAAACATTTTTCAATCTGTTTTCGATTTTCATCCTATCACTTCACAATGCATGCACTCCGTGTAAGTTAATTTTTGAGGAAGATGAAAAGCTACAGATGAATAGCCGCTTCAACCGGTAAAGGCGACTTTGGCCCTTAAGGAAACCGCTAACAATGTTTTCCGGAGAAACATTTATCGACATTGAAGCGGTGCTGGCGACACGTTATAAACCTTTCACGTTCGACCCCTCCCCTCAGCAAGCTATCGGTGCCCGTCTTATCTCTCTGAGACAGCTGCTCAAGGTAAGCAACCAGGCATCGGTAGGATTGTGATTGCAGGATTGCAAAATCCTGATTGCATTCCTTTTTGGTGGATTGCACCTGGATTTGAAATCCATTCCAAAAAACAGGATTTGATTGCGGATTGGATTGCATCATATTTCCAATTTTTGCAATCCAATCCGGATTGTGTTTGATTAGTGCTTTGAAATGGTTTGTTGCGATTGAAAATTATGAGATCGGCTTCATCGGCTTAATGTACTTTGCTATCAAGGGCTTTACATCGAAACTTGAAATAATTTAAACGCTTTTAATTTGAATGCTCAAAATAATATACGCTGATGAACTACAGAGGAAGGGCAAAATTACGTAGTTGAGGGCGAGTTTAAAAAATATAAAACACTGGTTGGGTAGAGGGGGTAGAGGTTTAAATGTGGGGGTGTTTGAGGCAAAAAATATTTTCCATAAAATACCTGTGCCTTAGATAGGAATTACTCGCAAGACTAGGTATTAGAAATGGGTGATTTGGGGATGGAGGCACGACCCTATGCCCCCTCCCTCCCCCAGATCCACTAGTGCACATAATGATACAACAGGATTGCAAAAAAGGATTGCGGATTTGATCACAATCCAAGTGAAAAAAGGGGATTGCGGGTAGGAATGCAATCCACTTCGGCACTAGGAATGTGGATTGGGAATGCAATCCTTTCAAAAAGGATTTTCCCGATGCCTGAGCAAAACGAAGACCGTGCACCGGCCGATACCTTTTTTATCTAGACGGGACTTAGCAAAACGGGGCTAACAAGCCAAATATGTGTACTCCCGAGTGATCTGTTCCGCACCCATTCAACTGAAAGCGTGGCTCGCAGAAATAAGTGTTTGCCAATCGCCGTAGCACCGGCCATGGTTAGTACTACTCGTACACTCATGTCTCCGGCTGTCCCTCCGGCAGAGATGTGTTCCGCGAGTGCGTCCCGCTCCAGATCTGCGCGTTCTCCGGTGCTTCCAATCAGTCTCATGTGTCTTCTCGGATTCCCATCCTGGCTTCCTGTCTCCTGACTACCGCTAATGAGCTACCGTCTTATGTTACTCGGTGTAGAGATTGGTGACAACCGACCGAGCTTTCATGCCTTCCGCCGGCTCATCTAAACTAGTTTTCCGGGTTTTCCGGATGGCAACGAACGGTTAAAGGTAGTGTGCCAACTTTCCTGGACCGTATGGAGTTAATGGCCCAGATAAGGAGAACCGGATTTTTAGAGCTTATCCATACCTTCAAAACTCATGGAAACGTCTTAAACCGTGCACCGGCCGATACCCTTTTTATCTAGACGGGACTTAGCAAAACGGGGCTAACAAGCCAAATATGTGTACTCCCGAGTGATCTGTTCCGCACCCATTCAACTGAAAGCGTGGCTCGCAGAAATAAGTGTTTGCCAATCGCCGTAGCACCGGCCATGGTTAGTACTACTCGTACACTCATGTCTCCGGCTGTCCCTCCGGCAGAGATGTGTTCCGCGAGTGCGTCCCGCTCCAGATCTGCGCGTTCTCCGGTGCTTCCAATCAGTCTCATGTGTCTTCTCGGATTCCCATCCTGGCTTCCTGTCTCCTGACTACCGCTAATGAGCTACCGTCTTATGTTACTCGGTGTAGAGATTGGTGACAACCGACCGAGCTTTCATGCCTTCCGCCGGCTCATCTAAACTAGTTTTCCGGGTTTTCCGGATGGCAACGAACGGTTAAAGGTAGTGTGCCAGCTTTCCTGGACCGTATGGAGTTAATGGCCCAGATAAGGAGAACCGGATTTTTAGAGCTTATCCATACCTTCAAAACTCATGGAAACGTCTTAAATTCTTCAAATTTTGAGTACCCCAGTGCGAAATTCACCCCGACGGGTTATCGGTCGTACCCCAACCACATTTCACACCACTATGAACAATAAATGCACACACTGAAATCGCTATTACCGCTAGGCTCATCCAATGAAGTTTCTATAAACCCGTTCATCATCATCTCTTGCGGTTTCGAACACGCCTGTTAGGTGGTGCGGTAGACCGCGCCCAAAGCCAGGGCCCCGGTAACGTGAGGTAGCCGAGTCGGGGCAGCGTGCGCTGACCCAAGCCGGGGCCGCGCGTCCTCCCGGTGTCATGTGATAGCCCGGGGCTGCCCGGGGATGCGGTAGACCGCGCCCAAAGCCGCGGCCCCGGCTTGGGTCAGCGCACGCTGCCCCGACTCGGCTACCTCACGTTACCGGGGCCCTGGCTTTGGGCGCGGTCTACCGCAGGTGGCTTCTGCTCATACTTTGTGGCGCGGTAGTGGTGCGTCGGGCCGCGCGCTCTGACTTCGGCCAAGAAAAATGCGTCAGCTGATCATTGTCATTTCTGCCGCTTTCATGTGGTGAGATGGGGTCATAACTTTAGAGACGGCTGTTTCATATCAATTATTTTACATAAAATAATATTTCGGTATATGTCAAGTTTAGGTCCTAACTACAACTGTGACGCTGTTGATACGAATATGAAACAGCAAAAATTTTAGGTTTTAGGTTAGGTTAGGTTGTAGGTTTGTAGGTTTTAGGTTGTAGGTAGGTAGGTTTGTAGGTTAGGGTAGGTTAGGGTAGGTTTGTAGGTTGTAGGTTGGTAGGTTATAGGTAAGTAGGTAAGGTTAGGTCAGGTTTGATTGTTTTTTTCTTTTATTTGCGAGACATATGAGTATCATTTTTGGATTCAGGATGTCAAATAATGTAAAAATATGAAAAATTTATCAATGAAATCTTCTTAGGACTTAAACTTGACATTTACCTAATATTTCAAACCATAAATTAATGTTCGACAGCCAAATTAAAGAAACAATACCAATACAGGCTTACAGTTTAAATTCGACATTGTGTTGTCTACGATTAGACAGCTGATAACTCATTCCCGTACGTCGTAACTCTATAATGACCTTTGCTTATTGTCACATGTGCGCCGCATTCGCGATTGTTGCCGACGCCTGTTTGCAGGTCAGCCCACTACAGTTGTTACGAGCGAGCGAGCGCAGCGAGCGAAGTGAGTCTTTTCAATATAACGGAAAAATCTCAGTATGAGCGGCCCGGCCCGGCCCGGCCCGGCCTGTAACGCTTTTGAGAGGCTTATATCTCAGCAACCGCTGGACCGAATGGCCTGCGGTCTTTTTTGCTGGGTAGCCCCATCCCTTCTACCCCGTAATTGACTACTTTTGATACATCTCAGTGACCGCCGTGGCACGTGCCACGTGAAAAGTCAAGGGTGTTCAAGCAGTTTTGCAAAAGTAATGATTTTGATAGGCCCATATCTCAGCAGCGGCTTGAGCGATTGTCTTGCGGTCATTTTTATAGGGTAGCTCCATCCCTTCTAACAAAGGTCAGATGCTCTTCATCTATGTGAGTGACCCCCACTGCACGTGCAAAATACAACAATAAGAGGTGCAAAATTTGTTCCCATTTCAGTAACTCGGTAATTACTGGGGCGATTTCGCTGAAACTTGGCATACAGGTAGGCACCCACCAGGCAATGCATTCCCATGTGTTGCGGTTAGGGTGCTACTGCACGTGCGCACGTGCAGGGGGCGTTTCCAGATCTCGAGAACGGCTGGGCCGATGGCGCTCAAATTTGGTACACGGTTGGGGACCCGTTAGTAGGGTGCCGTGCAAAAGTCATTTTGGACCCCGTTTGCACGTGCGCACGTGCAGAATGCCGCTTCCAGATCTCAGGAACGGCTGGGCCGATTGCGTTCAAATTTGGTACACCGCTAGCGACCGGTTAGAAGGGTGCTTTGCACAAGCCCGTTGGAAGTACCCTCTCACCCTTCTGCACGTGCAGGGCTCATTATCTCGCTCGCTCGTTCTTCGCCCAAAAGGCGTTTTACTGGTTATACATTTCGAAAAACCGATAAACTTTTAGGCGAAAAAAGCACTATTTTAGGCCCATTTTTGATTTTTTTTTTGCGATATTAGGTAAAAACAGAAGATTCTTATCCTAGGAAAAATAAAATGGGAAATCATTGGAAGGTGGCACACTACCTTTAAGTAGACCTTAACACCCAATTTATCGAAAAAAAAGTGCCTATATGAAGTGGGAGAAGCAGTGGCGTATGTACAGCATACCACGAGTTTGATACAGTGTCTCGCTTGTTCGGGCCGCTTGGTCGCCGCTGGTGACGCATCCACAGTCCAGCACAAAGGTCGGCGTTCGCGTATGTGCAGGAGAGCGTCGGCTGACTGTTGGTTCTAATTTCTAAATGCATTTTTAATTCCACTGATGATGCAATGCCAGACCCATCAGCCTTGCACCCTGCTAGTCCTAGAGACGATCAATGAAAATTTAGTGATTTGCGTTTCAAGTTCTAAATAAGGAACGTTAGATACCCATAGCTGTCCATCAGGGAACCATTCCGTAGGTAGTTATTTTGCCCTGGAAATGAAATAACTGATCAGGACAAATTAATGACGGATTTAAGTTTCTTGATCTGTAGCCATAAATAGACATCGAACGATTCAGACAATCAAATGAGTTATGGAGCCTTCGCCGGCCACGGTTCTGCCTTAGGGTTGTCCCTGTTGGCCTAGGGATCGTGAATTAGCGTTATCCCGAGCAGCTGGTGGGCCGGCACTTGGTAAGAAGCTTTAGCACCGCTCTAAGGATGCATTAATACCCCATCGGGAGAGTAAATCTCATTAGAGCCTACGCCACTGTGATTCAAACGTAAGTGCTCTGGGGCTGGTGCCCTTTGGGATTGGATCGCCGAGCCCGGCTAAGCTCCTCACACTAGCGACAGGGTTAATGGGGACTATTTTGACGGTCGCAGCTCAGCGTCTGATGGTTTTGCATTCTTTGCTAGTCTGGAACGGCAATAGGTGTATCGATATTGACGGATAATGGCCACTTCAGTTATATAACGTGGCTGGCAGCGAGGACATTATGAAAAAAGTAACGATCTATGCCAGAACGTGACGATATTATTAGCTCCTAGAGAAGCCTTTAATAATGCTTTCCGGAGCAACAGCCGTCAAGGCTGGACTTATAAATAGACAAACTGAAATCCGGTTATAACGACATAAATACCACACCCAATAGCGAAAATACGTTTGTATAAGCATTCATTCTTACTTTTTGAACTCAAATAGAATATCTTCCGAAGGCGGCCTCAGCCGGTTCCGTTTGACCTCTCGGATAAATTTCAGCGAGATTCAATGACGCTGAGCTGGACAATGGGAGGCGATATTGGGTGTCGTTGCATCACTCTCGCGAAGGGCTGATTGTGTGACCTTTGGTGGGTGGAAGACATTCAGCGATCGATGCGGCGGCAAATTTCATACCGAGACGACGCAGCGCCTCGGCATACCAGCTCTGAGCGGTGTGTAAATTTCGACGCATCGCTATTGGTGCCTAAGGCTGTTATGTGATATACCTACCAGAAGTGAGGCGAGGCGGAAACGAATTGATCTGAACATAAGGCGTGATTTGGATGAATGAATCTGAATGGAAGATGGATGCGCTGACGTTTAGAAATGGAATGAGAAGAAACACTGTGATGCAAAACGCAATGAAAACGTGAAACACGAGGAACGATAAAGGTTCGCAAGCGCAATACGTCATTTAACTTTGAGTCAGGGAATCTTATCCCTTGAAAGCGCTCAATAAGACAGATCTTCCTCACCAGACACCCTCCTTCAGTCATATAACTCACCCCATATGTCATCATCTCCCCATACAGTTCCCTCACTTCTCAATCCCCGTTCGTCAAACTCACCCACTCCCCATCCCCCGTTGGTCAAACTCACCCACTCCCCAACTCCCGTTCGTCAAACTCACCCACTCAGCCAGGTAGATGAGCGCATTCAGCGCCATAACTCCCAATTTGTCCGAGTCCACTCCGAGCATTCTCATCAGTCCCTCGATGAGGCCGCTGCTCTGGCGGAGCTGACCTCCAGCCCAGCCGCGTGCTGGGCCCAGGCCCTCGGCCAGGTCACCGCCGACCAGAGAGGCGAACCGAGACGCCTCACTGAGACTGCCGCTGACCTGTACCGGGGCGGAGGAGGGGGACTGGGTTAGCACGAGACGAGACTGCTCATGAGGGTCTTTTCATGAGGGCGAGGGACTGTTGGTGGGTGTAGAGGAGTACATCCTGCGTGAAAGTTAATGGGCTTTCCCTGCTAACACTGTAGGATAGGTATGTTTCTGACCAAAACTAGATACAGATAAAATACGAGTTCTCAACAAATATGCAGTAATGTTTCTTTCAATTCAAGCTTAGCTCAGCGGCAAGCATTTAGCATGGGTATTGAAAATAAGCTCCCATATTAAAAAAGGGAGACAAAAATACATACCTGTTCCAGGCCACCATTAATCGCACTCTGAAAGTCTCCGAGATTTCCGAACATTTCAGTGAGTGATTCCACAAAACCTGAAACGGGACAAACTTGTAAGAAATTGCATGTTGATTGTTGAAGGCATCGGTATACACTTGTACAGTACAGGGTGTCTCACAAAAAGTGTACACATTTAAAATGAAGATATTTCAACATATAAGCACGCGCTCACGTCAAAATCAGGCTTAAATTGAAGCTTAGCTCGTGCAAATTTATTTAACATACAATTTGTTAGTGAGAGTCATGAGGCAGTTAAGTGAAGAGGAAAGGAAAATAATCGTGAAATTATACCTCCAAACCGGTTCCCTGGTATTGACTCAGATGAAATTTAGGGCTCATTTCCCTACAATAAGAGAGAAACCGCCGGCAAACACAAGAAAACGGCTTACTGAACATTTCTTGGTTCAGGAACAGTCGGAAATCAAAACACTGGAAACAGCGGCCGCAAGATAACTGCCCGAACACCTTTGAAAATCGGACAAGTCATTCGGCGAGTTGAGGAAAAGCCTGGAGTGTCCGTGCGGCATCTTGCGCAACAAGTTGGACTCAGCCGCTGTTCCACGCATCGGATTCTTAGGAAGGACCTGAAGCTTAAGGCATACAGGTTATCAACATCTCAAGAGCTTTCCAAGTCTGATTGCCTACAACGGTTGGAGTTTTGCCGTTGGTTTTTAGGGAAGTGCTCGTCTTGCCCCAGTTTCATCGGCAACATTTGGTGGTCCGACGAGGCACACTTTTACCTTCACGGCTTACCTAATCGTCAAAACCACAGACACTGGGACAAACACCCGCCAGAGAAGACTTTGGAAGTCCCATTACATTCTCCAAAAGTGACGGTCTGGTGCGCGCTTAGCGCCCAGGGCATAATCGGACCGATCTTCTTTGAAGACGGTGACGGAGAACCAGTGACGGTGACTTCAGACCGTTATCTGGCAGTGTTGAAGCGCTTTTGGCGGTCTTTCAACAGCAAGTGCGCGGACACCATTTGCCTGCAATGGTTCCAGCAGGACGGCGCTCCAGCGCACACGTCAAGAGCCACGCTGGCCTGGCTGACCGAGCGCTTGGGAAGCCGGCTGATCTACAGGCGGGCCCCCCACAGCTGGCCACCCCACTCACCCGACCTCATCCCCATGGATTTCTATCTATGGGGGTATCTGAAGGATGTCGTGTACGTGAAGGCGCCGCACACGCTAGACGAGCTCAAAAAGGCCATCAGAGGAGCCATACGCGGGATAACCATGGAGACATGCGCCCGTGTAGCTCAGGAGACCATGAGGCGCGCCACCACGTGCGCTGAGCGCAAAGGCTGTCATTTTGAGCATCTAAAAAAATGAGCGCATAGCTAGAGTATGGGAAACTGATTCGGTAATGGTATATGACTATAAAGACGTGCAAATGATATGCGAATAAATTTGCAAGCTTTGTGCTTTCCAGCGATATTTGTGTTTTTTACGTATGTTTTTAACTTACGGAGCTATTTACAAAACAAATATGAACACTTTTAGTGAGACACCCTGTATACACACTAAGCACAATAAGTTCATGCCTTTAAGGAGACTGAACTGTAGTCCTCCTCTAGCTCCCTCGATTAATGGTGTTACGGGCGAGTCGAATATTGCCGATATGTGGAAAGAACATTTCTCTGGGATATTGAACAGTGTTGACAATCCTAGTTGTAAGGTGTCTGTATTGCATAAGCTTTCATTAGATGACTGTGAATTGCTTCCTTTTTCAGTATGTGAAGTGACTAAAGCCATTAAGGAGTTGTCCTCAGACCGTTCAGGCGGCAATGATCATCTTTGTGCTGAACATTTCAAATATGCTGGTAATTTATGTGCTGTGCATTTGGCCCTGTGTCTCACGCTGATGGTTAGACATGAGTTTTTGCCTCCTTCGTTAACTAAGGTTGTTTTGGTACCCATTGTGAAGGATAAAAATGGAAAACTAACTGAGAAAAACAACTACAGACCGATTGCAATTGCCAGTGTATGTTCTAAGATTTTGGAGAGAATTATTCTCAACCGCTCTTCTGTACAACTTAGTACTGGTCACCACCAATTTGGATTCAAAGAGCGTCACTCAACTGATATGGCGATATATGCTCTAAAGGAGATCACAGATTATTATTTGCGCAATGATAGTCCGGTGTTCATTTGCTATTTGGATGCTAGTAAAGCATTTGACCGTGTTAATCATTGGAAATTGTTGGATAAGTTGCTGTGTAGAGGTATGAACTCCCGACTGGTAAAACTTATAGCGTTCTGGTATAAGTCTCAACGTTTTCATGTACGATGGGGAAGTTCTGTATCGGCGGGTTTCAATGTGTCAAATGGTGTCAGACAAGGTGGTATTTTGTCTCCATTTTTCTTCAATGTATATACTGATGACCTCTCCGATATGCTTAATCGATGTGGTTATGGGTGTCATTATCTTGGTAGCGTAAATCATCTGTATTATGCAGACGATATGGTCTTACTTTCTCCGACTCCCTTTGGCCTGCAGCAAATGCTGCACATATGTGAGAGGTATGCAAAAGACCATGATATTTTGTTTAACTCCACTAAAACAGTCTGTATGGCCATGCTTCCAAAGAGATTCGGTGGTATGCATGTACCTACGATATTGCTCTGTGGACATATGCTGAGTTTTGTTAGTACGTATAAATATCTTGGGTATCAAGTGTCTAATGATTTCTCCAGAGCAGATGATCTAGAAATCCGCCAGCAATATCGAGCATTGTGCTGTATTAGCATATGCCGGAGTATGTCTTTAGCATTAGCGCGAGCGTGCGGTAAAAGCTTTTTGGATTAAACCGCATAATGTTGAAGGCAATTGAGCAAAGGTTTCGGCCCATGGGCAAAACATTTTACCAGCGAACTTTTCAAGCATTTCCTGAGACGGAGGAAGGCGCTGGAAAAGAGCTTAACTGATAGAAATCTAACGTTAACTGACGTGTAGCATTTGGTCGCTTTGAACTATTGAAGAGATTGTAAATGTTGGTTTTCAATAAGATAATATTTTAAATCTTAATGTACTGGCAGATTAATTAATCACCTACTGTAGCGCCAATTTCATGCCTTTTACAAGTGTAATGAATTGACAAAAAAAAAACGTATTTCACATTGATCAGTAAAAACTTTATTCATAGGTATTGACATGGGTAGAAAACCAAGCGCTCACTTCACAGGATTGTAGGTATACCTTCCACTCTTCTCTAATATTGAAAACGAACGTTACTCTAGCTTCTCATATGACATAGATTGAAGTAGATGTTCTTGGTTTGATAGAAATCCAACTCACAGCCAGACACAAGGATGAGTCGGCTTGGTTTATTATCTTGGTCAGGGAATATGTACATTTTTTGGTTCTTGATATTCGGTCTTGGTTTTTCCACTTCTTTCAAGAATGTAAAATTGTTAAAGAAGCTTAAATATGGAAATTAAACAGCATATGCTAAAATAAATATCACACTTGGGCCGGAATGTTTCATTCAGGACCTCGGGCTTTGTTGAATTTTCCGCCCTCGACCTTCGGTCTCGTGCGGAAAACTCAACAAATCCCTCGGTCCTGAATGAAACATTTTACCGGCCCCGTGTGATATTATATAGAGCCAACTCGCTCATCCGCAAATTTGCGATGTGCACGCACAGTGTGAAGAAGTGTCTTTACAATGCTTACTGCTCAAATGTCAGCTATGTACACTTGTGGCATTCTTATCACTTGTCTGATCTGAGAAAGTTCAAGGTCTGTTTTAACAACGCCGCTAGGATGTTTTTCGGCTACGAACGGTTCTGTAGTGCTTCTGATATGTTTGCTCAAGAGCATATAAATGGTTATGATGCACTGTATCGCAAAGCTGTATATAACTTTATGTCACGCTTATCCATGTCTGAAAATCGCATAATATCTGCATTGTACAACAATGACCTAAAATGCTCTTCATCTATTAGGAGGGTGTGGTCTCGAGCGTTATATGGATGGTAGACGCTACCATGGACCGGGGTGACTGTTGAACACCCCTTTTTGTTATGGACTTCGTGTCTGTTAATAAAGTGATCTCTCTCTCTCTCTCTCTCTCTCTCTCTCTCTCTCTCTCTCTCTCTCTCTCTCTCTCTCTCTCTCTCTCTCTCTCTCTCTCTCTCTCTCTCTCTCTCTCTCTCTCTCTCTCTCTCTCTCTCTCTCTCTCTCTCTCTCTCTCTCTCTCTCTCTCTCTCTCTCTCTCTCTCTCTCTCTCTCTCTCTCTCTCTCTCTCTCTCTCTCTCTCTCTCTCTCTCTCTCTCTCTCTCTCTCTCTCTCTCTCTCTCTCTCTCTCTCTTTATCTGCGCCATATTTCGATAAGCAGTTTCTATAGTTCACCCACTGCCGTTCAATCATCAACATATTTGTACATTGTGCACTGTGCAGGTACATTATATATAGACTATAGGTACACTAAATAGTGATCAACGGCCATGAAGCATCATCTGTCTGAAGCTTAGGCAGTTCGGTTAAGCAATGATTGCAACAAGTAACGTTGGTAGATGTGCCCTCTTCCTAAATCATAGCTCAGGCCTCAGGTAAACAAACGAAAAAAAAACTTCAAACCTAATGATCCAGCAACAAGCTTTTGAGTTGATTCAATTACCAGTTTCGCCACATACCTACTCGGATGTCGCTAGGCCTCATCTTTGTCTCACGTCTGTTAGGACTCCAGAACTCTCCCTATCAGTATGTGGGCTTTTCAAAAGTCCCCGGCGGCCTAAGGTGTTGATTGATATTTTGTCGGCAACCTCCTCTAGCAGCTATCCATCGGTGGCGGCAGCGGCGGATTGGCAATGACCTCACGGGCGCGTGGGCGGCCCCAGACGGATCGCTCACCGCGCCACGCGGTATGAAAACGGCACCTTCCGGGAGCAGAGCACGTGTGCTTCACGTGCGACGTCTGAGCTCGCAGTGTTGAAAGAAATATGTTTCATTAGACCTATATGTGGAACCTTTTGAAGATAAAGGCTCACCGCCCAGCAAAGTAGAATTTCAATCACTTTAGCCGTATCAAGAAAACAAATGACCAGCAGCGAGCAGGTTTTTTAATACAAAGGCATTCGTGAAGCGATGAAGGAATTGGATTGTGATGGTTGCTATGATTGTGGTTGCTGGTCTGTTGGGACCGCGATTTCGACTCACGGTTGTAGTCATGGCTCCATTCATAGATAACAGTAGAACTACTGTTCTACTGTTATGCTCCATGATATGTCCGATTTCTCATTTCATGATCCTGTTTTTATAGGGCTGTTGCAGATTTGGTTTCCGTCTACATGAGTTCTTATATCGGGCCGCTCCCCACTGAAATGTTTTTCAGTTCTTATTGTTTGATTGCCGTTTTTATGAGTTTTATCGCAAAACCATAGCTTGTGCCTTGAACCATGAATCAAATCATGGTAATGGGCTTGCTCCGCTCCTCAAAGTCAGACTCTACTCTACAGGTAAGAGTTCTTACCCTGTTGTCCCGGTCCTTTACGATTTCTTACCTCTTGGTTCCTGTCGGTACGACTGGCTCTGTTCCTCGAAGTCAGCCGTGCCTCCCGCGATCAGCACCGCTCCCAACAGTAGATGCAGCAGCATGTTCGTAACCTGCGACAGAACAGACACCATGGTCATCAAACACGGAACACAAACACGAGACACACCAAACAAACATAACACACGGACCGGATCAGCTGCGGCCTGTGCCCGTTACGGGACGGTGGCCGCTACAACAGGTGGCCAATCCAGACGGCCGGCAGTTCATAGCGGACAACAGGTGGCCCCTGTGGCCGAACAGACGGCCATATGAACAACGTGCTACGGTTTTATGAGAGGTTTTCGGGGTGGGCGACTGACGTTCGATGGCTGATGGCGTGTTTTGGCACAGTTCGACACATTTCGGCCCAGTTCAGTCAGTTTCGACTCGTAGCTCGATGGTCTGTGGTGAGGGTAAGCGTAACGGCGGCACCGAGTAACGGTTGTCACGCCCAGCATGGAGCGGAAAAACGTCAGCGTCACAGTCCATCGAGCGGACCGGTCGGAGCACCAGCACTCAGCGGTAGCCGCGGTGTAGCCCGGCGGGCCGACATGCTTCAGTGATCATTGTTCACTCTTCAGCTTCAATAGTGTCGTGTCGGCGTCAGTAATATCTGCTTAGTGTCAGTGGTGTTTTCACGGTGTGTCCAGTGCCTGATTAACATCATAGGTGTCATTTCGATACCACCGTACCCCCGTTTTAGGCCACATCATCCAGTCCGATCTACTATGTCACCTCATCTGCTGCTCATCTCTCCTCATGCCGCCGGCTCCCGTCAGCCTTCAACAGCGATTCCATCACGCCCTCCCGAGACTTGACATGACGCCCGCCCCGAGACCCGGCACCACGCGCCCGGCCGAGACGGGACGCCGTGCTCTGTGCCGACTGCCACGACTGTCAGCGGCGGCGCCGCGCCGGCTGGCCCACTGACCCGGCGGCCCAGTGTAGGCGCTGTGCAGTCACGGTTGGCTGCTCTGAGCCCCGCCTGCTCAGAGTGCCGTGCACCCGGGTCAGGTGTGCCGACTGCCGCTGCTGTGCCCGTTTTCACGCCTTCTGGAGTAGCTGGAGCACCGTGGTTTTTAGAGGTAGCGTGGCGTGTAACGACGCGTTTGTCGTGAGCTGCAGGATGAGCTGCGCTTTATGCAGCCTAGAGTGAATAGTAGAAAGTTCAACTTTTCTAACATTCATAATGAAGGGAAAGATATTGGAAACGCATCTGGTCCAAAACATGTAAGCTAATATAAATTTTCCCGGCAATGAATATAGTAAAACTGATTTAGTCGGATAAACCACCTTGTTTTCCGTGCAAATAAATAAACAAAAAAAAGTATCGGCGTGCGAATTTCATCAAAGGGCCATTTTCACGTTCCCATGCACGGTGCGACATAACCCCTACGGACGACCGCAGTGAGGAACGAGTCAGATCTGGGCTGGGATTTGGTCAGAGCCGGGGAACGGTCAGATATGAGCAGGAGAACGGTCAGATATGAACTGATAAACTGGTCAACTGTAAGCAGAGGAACGGGGCAGATATGAGCCGTGGAACGTGCAAGATGTGAGCCGTGGACCGGATCAGTTGTAAGCTGATAAATTGGTTAACTGTACCTATGCAAGCCATGAATCGATCAGATGGAACTGAGATCAACTGTTTAATTGTATGCAGGGGAAGGGGTCAGATGTTGGCCGAGATGAGCACACACGCCGTTGGGCCGTACCGCTACCTGACCGGGCCAGCCGCCCGTGACTGTGTGCAGAGCAGTGGACCGTGACTGTTTGCAGGCCGCACCTGTCGCCCCGTGCAGCGGCTCAGCTCCTGACGCGCAGAGACAATAAGCTCGCACGGAGGAGCTGGGAGGAGCCCAGTGACACGGAACGGAACCAACCCCCACCCACTGCCCCACAGGCGAGCTGAGAGAAGACCTGAAGGCACTCGTGACACCAAATTGAACCGTTCACACAGCCGTTCACACAGCACTTGCTTAGGAAAGCAAGTGCGGTACAGCGCTACATCAGTTCACAATGCACTAACCAGCACCACAGCCCTCTCCATGAAACCATGATACAATACCCCAAGAGAACCTTCATACGTTTCCGGTCAGGCCGCAGGGGTGTCCCCTAACCACAGCCCTCTCGCGGTCTTTCCGACTCACTGACAGTTCCAGAGCACCCCGCGTCTTGCTCTGAGTGATCAGCCACAGGGAGTCCCATTCGTTCGACGGCCCACCGGCTGGCGAGATAATTACGGTGCCACTTGCCACACAGCTAAGTAGTCGATGCGGTATTGTGCCCCAAGTGATTAAATCATACGGCTTCTGCAGCATCCGGCTCCACATTTCAGAAAATGTGGCCGAGATAGAGAAGTGATGACGCGGAACGGAATGGATGCAGGTTGAATGCGGATACTATCCAAGTATCTCCATTATACATAAGATATAATATTCATGTGTGTTGAGTTGATTACCAGCTAAAACATCCCACGCCTGGTGGAGCAGATATTATTCTTTCAGGATGTAGGTATTGCAATTTGAAAATGTGATAAAGTTGTTGCGCGCCAGCCTACATATGCATGAGCAAATTCGCATATGCATGCAATTCCCATTCTTGTTTGTATGCATATTTACTTTCGGATTGAAGAATATTACATCAGGCTCTTTCGTCTTTGGGCTCTGCTATTTTGCAATACTGAAAACCGTCATTAACGTAGGCAGGTAGGCAAATAGATACGCCGCATTCGTTTTGGTTGTCATGAGGAAGGCAGCAGCCTCCATCATACTGTATTACGTAAAAGCAGCTCCCATTCTAGTCATGGCTGCAGTTGTCTGTGAACCACTCGAAATGGACAGCGAGACAGCGGCAATGTCCGCATGCAGACGTAGACGTCTCGCCGCGGCTACCACCCGGAAGACAAAACTCCCAGGCGCGCCGACTATCGGAGGGCCCACGCAACCCGGCACTCAGTGCGAGTGGCCGCTCGAGACTGAACAAGGTGGGTACGAGCTAGGATAGGTCGGCAACTATGGGAAATGTATTAATGGATTGTCGAGGAATGTACGAAAATAACGCATTGCCACTGTACCTACATTGCAGGTTATTTGCATCGGTCTTCATACTTGCTACTAGTAATGCCTAAACCAGGAATTTTGATCATGGAATGGAAACATTATAGGTTCATGGAACCTCCAAAAAAGAACTTACAAAATTAAAAAAAAAAATCTTGCTCCAGCCATTTTCGTTGTCTTTTTGCAAACGCTGTCTCACCTGCGGTAGTGTCTCTGCGGCTGGAGTCAGTCCACGCACGGTCCGCTGACAGAGGGGCGCACTCAGCTACCTCTCTTCTCCGACTCTGCTCTCGGGCTCTGGACTCTGGCGTTGGACTCGGGCTGTCTCCGGGGGCTGGACTCTAGCGCCGGACTCGCTCTCTGGACTCGGGCGCTCGTCTCTGAGCGCGGGCCGGGACTGCGGAGCGCAGAGGCCCGCCGCCGGCTCGCCGCCGCCGCTGCCACCCGCCGCTAACGGTGCCCGGCCACCGGTAACGTTTCCGTCACGGAGTACGGCCGAGGAACGTTACCGTCCCGTCACGGCCGGCCGGGCAGCCAGATGGTGCTCGGAGCGGCAGCAGACGGCGCGGTGACTGTGTGTTGTCTACTTTTGTTGTTTCTGCTGCTGCCACTTCTGCTATTTCTGCTGTTTAGCAGACGGCGCGGCTGCTGCTGATATATGGTCTCGCTTCTGCTTTTGCTGCTGGCTTATACATAGCAAACGGCACGGTCCCGGCAGACGACGCGGTGGCTTCTGTTGTGTGATGTGTCGTCTGCATATGCATGCTACTGCTGTGCCACGGGGACGGCGGGCTCTTAACTGGCTTCTGCTGCTGCTGCTGCTGCAGCGCTACGGCAGAATGCACGGGCTTCTCTTCGCCTGTGGCTGCTACGAACAACGAGTGCCTTTGCAGCACTCTGGCGCCGTATTTATTGACACTCGTATTCACAGGTACTCTTATTTTATATACACTCGTGTTTACAGGATGCAGTTAATAAAGCTCTTTGCTATTTATTGGCTTATATATAGTTCACACACATTCACATACATTTTGTTGGACCTAAAAATATCTGAGTTCGGCATTCATTCATCACTTCAGCTCCCGTGTGAGCTCTATTTACACCCGGGTAATGCAAAATGTTGTATAGGAAACTTACCTGTAGGTAGTTACATACCTCAACCTTTTCAGCTGAAATTTGAGACCATCCTTGCCGAAAATAAATGACCAAAGCCATAGCTCGACTTTTTGTCATTGACGTGACTTTTGAGCTTCGAGATCAGCTGCAACAGCTGCCAACCTGGGAGAACTTGTGAGAATCAGCATGCTCGATCCTCGGCGATCTAATTCAATTAAGGGCCAAACGCAAATTCTAGTCGCCTTCCTTTTGTAAGAACATTGCAAAAAAGGAATAGACAATATCCGTTGTAGTTTTCAACAGAATTAAATCATTTTTTAACCTTCGCCCCAGTGGGGGGAGGGGGGCATATGTTACCACCCTGTCGCGTTTTTTTGCGTGTGAATAAAAAACCGCGGCGCGTAGCGCCGCTCCGCTTGGGGTAGCTTTTGGTACATCAATTTTGGACAATGTGTGGAATTGTTGACCCCAGGTCATTTCAGGTCAGGTCACCAGGTCAAGTTAACTGACCAAGCCTAAAAAAGTTTGCAATCATGTCCAGCCTGCAGTGTTTGTCAGAAAGGTTTTAAACTTGGTGGATTGCATGATGTTATGGGCGCCTACGATTTGTATATCTCGGATTTTTTTTTATATCTATGACCTAAGGTCAGGTCAGTGGCGTGACCTTTCCATTACAAGTCAATGGAGAAAAATGAAAATGCCTCTAGATCCGTGTGTACGCATAGGAACAGTCCAAATATTTCAGAATCACAATGATTTGGACCACCCGTGATGACCAAGGTGTCATTTTTGCTGATAGCCTCTAGAAAGGTCATCCGAGGTCATTTGAGGCTACAAACAGATTTTTGCCAATAACTCGCGATTGGAAAGAGATAAACGCTGGGGATGGTCTCATTGTGTTTGTCTTGTTGAGACGCATCGACTGATATGCAACATGACCTTTTCCGGTCAGGTCATGACCTTGACCTGAGGTCAAATTTTCAAGTTGACCTTTCAAGTTGTCTTGGCTTTTTGTAGTCGAAAGTTATTGTCGAAAAACACTTTTCATAAAAACAGCTATTTTTGGAGTTTTTGTCCTCTAGAGGCTAAACCGTTGACCTGTGGTCAATTTTGATAGTGACCTTATCAAAAGAAGAGTTCATAAGCTATCGATTGCTTTTTCATGCGTTTTTCTAGCTACCATAGTTCCTGAGATAACGGCATGTTTTCTGAAAAATATTATGACCATTGGCAAATTTTGACCTTTGATGACCTCTGGTGACCCCAATATTGCTCTAAGATGAAAAATGACCGAAATACTTTCAAATGTACGCATTGAGAGCTATCGACTGCTTTTTACCGCGTCTTTCTAGCCCTCTTGGTTTTTGAGTTAGAGGTGGGTGGTAACATATGCCCCCCCCCCCACACTAGGGCGAAGTTGGCTGAGACCGCCACTGGGGCGCGGGTTAACCGATATGTATCCAATCAATTGGAAAACAGCATTTGCAGCAGCAAGGTTCGTTTCATGCTGTCATTTTATCAACATTATTATAAAAAAATACATTAGCATTGGAATGTTTTTTTTTTCTGGTAAGGTACGACGTACCTATTAAATAAAAGTGTTTGAAAAAAATGTTCTAGCCTTGTCACCTGAATGAATGAAACCATAGAGTAGAGTTAAGGTTATGTATTTATAGTTAAAAGTTAAAACGTTTGAAGGTCCGTTAGCCAAATTGTGTTCAACGAAGGAAAATAACCTTCCCAAGCATGCGTCTCAATGGTTGTGCATTTCAGCGTATTCTCCTTTGATCAGTCTTTGTATAAATAGCAGGCCATGTCGATAAGCTAGCTCATCAAAGTAATCTCAAACTAATTCTACCTAGACAAGTCAGCTGAGCCGAAGCTCCTCGTTTTAGACACATACACCCACTGAAGCCGAGACACGACGAGGACCGAGCCAGACGAATATTGGATGTCCATTATATGGGAAAATGACGAGAATGTATGGCCCATTCGTTCTGGCCGATTCCAATCAGCTGGGCTCATCTCCGGCAGGTCTATCACTGCGGCGCAGCCACCCCCGCGGCAGCGACTCGGATATTGAACGGGCGACCGCCCCCCGGCCCGGCCGGCCGGCAGACTCAGATTCCATCGCCGGCCGAGCGGCGGACGAAAAGCAGCTTCCGGTGCGGGCGGGGGTGGGGGGCGGGGGCGGCGGGGGTGGGGCAGAGGGCTCGGCCCGGTCCGTACGGCCGGCCGCCTCTCCTGAACCCAGCAGTACCAACGGCCGCCAGACCGTCTCTTAGCAACCGGCCCGGTCAGGTCGATAGGGCGCCGACCAATGAGCGCGCGCGTTACTGTTGACCTGCCTGAGAGCGCTGCCGCCATTGGTTACACACGGGCTTCATTCATAGACGCGTGGGAGGGTGGCTGCCGCCGATGCTATAAGGGGGGCCCGCCCCGAGCTGAGGACGCTATTCTGCGACCACACCGATCCAGCCAAAATAGCTCGTCAGCTCCCGTCGGCCCAAAGTGTCGCCGGTTCAGATAACACAGAGAGCGCAAACAAACACAAACAGATCAGGTGAGCCCAGGGTCACTGTTTGCATGCACGGGGAAGTCAATACCTATGAAGTTTTTATATAATTGATGCAACAAAACAATTTAAGCAGTAACTCGATCTAAAAGTTACCGAAAGTTACCGATGCAATAGAGATAAAAATTGAAGGAATTAGATAGAAGCTGACAATCTAATCAGAATGGGCAGTTCAGACTTCTTACAGTGAATACAAGTCGAAGATCGCAATGCGTATTACAGATATACCTAACGCTTGTTGCAAAATCACCAGAGTAAGCATTACAATTTGTGAGGCAATATAAAAAGCCTAGAGATTAGCTGAGCTGTTTTACTCCGGAAGTTTTGTGATACGCCTTTGTTTTGGCATGGAGATGAAGACAACCGCCGTTCGTCGTTCCATGTTAACACTTTGACCCATGACCTGGGCAATATCGATCCCTTTCGGATATGCCTTTATGTTCGACAAACGGCTCCACGCGGGGCCACACACAAAAACGGTTTCACGCGGAGCCGCACCGAAATTATGTCTGCTGGTCAAATTTCAATCCACCAATTCTGATCCACGTTTCAAACTGTCTTACGTTGACCATGTCTCCGGCCAAACAACATCCCCGTTCTAAAAGATCGCCATGTCACCTTCACAGCCATGAAGAGCGCACCGCTGCTTCTGGCTGCCGTCGCCTGCTGTGTCGGCATTGCCAGCCCGCTGCCAGCCGCGCCCACCATCGGTCCGATGACGAATGACGCCTCCCCCGCCTCTGCCCCCGCCCCGTCCGACCCGCCCGTCCCGTCCGGCGGTACCTCCGGGCCGGCAGTACCGCTGGCGGTCCCCAGGCCGGTGCGCCGGTCGGCCCCGGCGGCCGGCCCGCCGCTAGAGCCGCTGGCCGGTCCGTACCTGGGTGCTGGTGGCGTGCCGCTGTCCTCAGCTGCCTACCAGGCCCAGCCGAGCTGGCCGCAGCAGCCTCAGAATGAGCTGCAGTACCTGGGACAGCCACCGGCTCAGTACATGGGACAGCCGGCCCAGTACCTTGGCCAGCCGGGAACCCAGTACATGGGTCAGTCAGCCGCTGAGTACTACGGCCAGCCCGGGGCTCCTCAGTACCTCGGCCAGCTCGCCTCTGAATACCTGAGCCAGCCAGCTCAGTACATGGGCCAGCCCAGCACACAGTACCTGACCCAGCCTGGTACTCAGTACCAGGGCCAGCCGGGTGTCCAGTACCTGACCCAGCCTGGTACTCATTACCAGGGCCAGCCTGGTGTCCAGTACCTGGGTCAGCCTGGTACCCAGTACCTGGACGAGGCGGATGCCCCGTATGCGGGCCAGCCGGGTCAGGTGAACCCGCTGCCGGCCGGCGGCTCTCAGTACGTCGAGCAGGACACTGACGGCTCAGACCTGGTCAACTTCCTGCTCCAGTACCCCGACCTGCTCGATTCAAGCCGGTACGAGCCGCAGTACGGCGAGTCGGCCGAGTATGCCGACTACTCGAGCGGAGGAGACGCGTGGCAGAGCGTCGACAAGCGACCGGCGCCCGCCGCTGAGCAGCGCACCGCTCCCGTCACAGAGGACACCCTGCTGCGGCAAATAGACGGTCTGCGGGCGCCGCAGCCGGCCGCGCGGGCTGTGTCCTCCACCTCTGCCTCCTCCACAACCACCACCACCACCACCACCACGACCACCACCACCACCCGGCCGACCACGACGCTGAGCAGCCGGGCGGCGGCCGGTGTGGGCGCCGGCACACGCGGCGGCATGGCAGAGGTGCCTCTGTACGGCACCTCTTCGCGACGACAGGCCACGGCCGGCCACCTGCAGCTGGCGCCTCAGCGGCGGTCGGCAGGGCCCGGAGCCGAGCAGCCCTCCACAGAGTCGGCGTACGACACCATCAAGAGGTTTCTCGTCATGGAGGACGCGTTGAGAAAGGTGAGCTGGGATGCGGGAGTCGCGGGTGGGTTGGGGCGAGGAACTCTCAGTTGATGCTGTGTTTGTTGTGCACACGGCCAATAACTGATGGTTAATAGCGTCATTGATGGGTGATGAGTTGCCGTCGTTGATGAGTGACTGGTGTCCTTATTGTGATCAAAATTTACTTGTGATTGGAATGTGTCTTCCGTGGTTTATATGTTTTGTCTCGGCTTGTTCTACCCTGCCCGATTTCCCCTGTGCAGTCGGTTGTCTTTCATTGTGTGATTATGTGTCCAGGTATCAGGTTCATATGATTTTTCCCTACTTTAAAGTAAAACGAATAGATGATAATGAGTGAACACACAAGCCTACAATATCTTACATAAAGCATTGAAGTTTTAGAAGCTTCAAACAAATGGTACGTGATATCATCGGAAGAACGTTTGACACTTGCTTCCGGCGCTAGTTAGCAAGTCACGCACTCTGTTCCTCTGTTTGATTACCGGTTTGGATTAACTGTACTTGGGCCACAAAGCTGAGCAGCCGTCATGCATGCCATGACAAGAAGCTCAACACCTGTTGGATCAAGGCGAACAAATGCTGCAGCTCGAAGCTGGTCTCAGTCCGTCCTGTCAAAGCCAATTGTAAAAGTAGAGCAAAAGCACGAGTTCATATACCACAACGGCTTGCTCATATTCAATCAATTACACAAGCACCGCGCAGAAAGATGAACTAACCGCAGTATCGACGGCTGCAGCGTCGGTCACCGGAGGTCGCCGAATCGCGCCTAGCTAAGGTCATTTCGGCAGCGATTTCGCCGACCGGTGCCCGGGCGCTCGTGCCGGGAAGCCCGGCCGCCGGGTGCGCTCTAAAGATACCTCATCCAGGAGGTGCCACGACTCCAGAGTGACAGGGCGGCCGATCGACCAGCTAGCCTTCCCTTACCTCAGAGCTCAACCGTCGGCAATTATACGTCGCCGATGAGCTTCCCAGAGCTGCACCTCAGGCGGCTCAGTTGCTGGGCATATCGGGGGTCCACTAGTAAGAGTCTGAGCGCAGCCATTAGATGCGCAGTCCGCGGCTGGGCTGGTGCGATCCGGGATAATGAAGGGCACAAGCCTGGCAGCGTGGGGGACGATCACGGCCTCTGTGAGTGACTTTTGCTCGTCAACCGAGGTTGATTGGATCGTCATTGATTGATGTGGCCTGTAAGCAGTGGGCACTAACAATATCGGCAGCACGTGAGACGAACTATAAGAATGCAGCCACTTCAGGACTAGTATGATTTCGTAGCGTGACGCTCTGCTCCATTTCGTTATCTTTGGATCCGTCCCATCTTCGTATCTGGGCCTTGTTGCACCCTCAGTAGCTGCAGTCTCAATGCGTTACGTCTCCAGCCCGTTTCCGGAGCCCCGTGGCGCTCCGTGCCGGTATTTGAGGCCCGTTTCCGGTCCGAACCGCTGCCGTGCGGCGGCTGTCGGCTGTCCAGCAGCGCCGTAAGCCGGCACAGCGCGTGCCAGTTCCGTCACACGGACGTTCCGAGCCGCCGCAGTCGCATCGACCAGCACTCATATACGGCCTTGGACCAGGGTCACCTTACCGGAACACCGGGTCAGCTCTCTAACACACCTTCCCTTCCCGTGGCCCAGTCTGGTTGAGCCCTCAGGACCGTTGTGATCCTTCGGCGAGTAGCGCGGCCGTCACCGCACGGCGCAGGCAATTCTGAGCACGCACTATGGAAGGTCACCTGACGTGCGTCAAAGGGCGAGGCGGGGGTTCACCGTGCAACACCGCGTCGCCGCCACTCTAATCCCAGCAGCATCGGTCCGCAGCTTACTGCCAGGGCTTCCAGAGCTTATACTCTGAGCTGCAATGGAGCTAAGCGCCGCCTATTGTGTGTGCCATGAAAGGCTGATTTTAGCCGTAACTAGCTGGAGGCCAATTATTTATTAAGTGTTAAGGGGAAATGCGTTTTGAACAGCTAACATTGTTTTACCGTGGTTGCAACTTGCAATAACGGACTGCACCACATATTTTAGAACCAGCCATGATAGGAATGATCATTTACTGTCCACCACATCTAAAAATATCAGAAATGTAAACATTAAACATCGTTTTCTAGATTTTTACAAGCCTGGGTCCCTTCTAATTCATCTTTCATTCCCTTAATACCTGTCTCTATTCTCTTTTTGACTTTCTTACGCTATGTCATTGATGCTCCTCGCTGAAGAGCGGCCGAAGGGCACCGTCTCTCTCTCTCTCTCTCTCTCACTCTCTCTCTCTCTCTCTCCCTCTCTCTCTCTCTCTCTCTCTCTCTCTCTCTCTCTCTCTCTCTCTCTCTCTCGCCTCTCTCCCTGGCCAGACGGCGCGTGGGCGTGAAGACAAAGCGTCGCGGCCGCCACCGCCGCCGCCGTCACTATTGAGCGGCTCTCTGGGCGGCGCGCAGATGAGGAAGCGACCGCCACGCAGCGTGGGTGGGTGTCCCCCCGGTCGGCAGACATCGAGCCAGACGGCCGAATTAAAGTCGGACGCGGCCGCCCACCGCCGCCGGCGCCGCTCGCCGGGAGATGGCTCGAGCCGGGGGCATCGGGAATGTAACGCCATTTCAGCGGATGGACTAGACAGTGACATGGCCTGTCGGGCATCTGGTTGATGGCTAGGAATAACATCTTCCCGCCCTGTCTGTCCATCAGACAAGGAAGGGAGGACAGAGTAGTCCATCAGACTGAAGGTGGTTGGACCAGTCTAACTTAGAAAGACGAGAGATGCCCATCAAAAGATAGACGGCGCGGGCGGGCAGGTGTACTATCTGTTAGACGAGAGGCAGCAGACGACCATCCATCAGAGGAGAGAAGAAGGATAGACCAGTCAATGAGACGTGAATCGACAAAACGGACAAACTAGTCCATTAGACGTGAATGCGGATGCATGAAAACTATCACTGGCTGCTGGTGCTAGTGCCCCATGCGGCTAATGCAGTCTCCATGCGTCCGCGCGGCATATGTGTATGGCGGTACAGTCTACCCCAACTCTTGCAGGCGGCTGCTGCTGCGGCGGAAGGGCGTTATAACGGTCGGTATGCACAGGATAATCCTTCCAAAATCTCGACCTTTCAGATATAGGACAAACAAACATTTTGTGTCCTACAAACATTTTGTGTCCTATTCGGACACAAAATGTTTGCCATGTAACGATAGATTTCGGAAGGCTTTTCCACTATTTACGTCATGCCCGTAATAGAGTTACTATTAATGTCACTCAGACTCAACATAATCAACAGTCTGTAAATCGTTACGTGTCAATAATGAGGGCCGCATTTCTGTCGTGCCTCTATCGACAAGATCATAATTGATTCAATCGCATCAAAGACAGTCCAAATTGATTTACTAATCAGAGTCCAACCTATTTTGGTTGCCGTCTATTGACAGCTATTGGTAATTCTGGACCTACCGTGACACCGCCAAAGGTTACGTGCGATCCTGGGTATCCGTGGCTCGTTCTCTAAGCGGCACTAAAACAAAACTCAACTTGATTCCACAAAGGTGTTCTCGGAGGCGTCTGAATGAGCAAAGTTGGACACATTTCATCAAAATAGCCCACTTCCGGCGGGGACTCGTCAGAACTTGTACCGCCGTCGTCAACTGTCCGCCAGAAAGTCGAGTGTTGTCTGCCCGAACCAGCGAACCAATTCATTACGAACAACTCTAAAATGTGACCTGGGTTTACAGATAACGCAATGGTTTAGAAAAAAAATGCTGTAACCTCAGCATCATCTTCCTCCGTCTCTCTCTCTCTCTCTCTCTCTCTCTCTCTCTCTCTCTCTCTCTCTCTCTCTCTCTCTCTCTCTCTCTCTCTCTTTCTCTCTCTCTTCTCATCACATCTCTTCAGGGCCTCGTCTAAGGAATTTTCACTGGGGGGCAGAGACTGAAGGAGCCAAACCTAGGGTACCCCCAAATCCTGTTTTCTCACCGGTTAGGCCACTTGTTTTTCGTCACAGCCCTGAGAATATGTTTTTTTTTTAAAGAAAACAAAACAAAAACAAAAATAGGCGATCTGCGCCATACCGTAACCCTCACCCGTATGCATAGCAGAAGGGTGCGGGGGGGGGGAGGGTCGAACGGACTCCTCTCGGTTTTTCGCAAATAAGTCACGCAAAAAGTGACCGATCGCGACACAACTTTCAGTATCCTCGCGTTTATCAATTTCACACCAACTCTGAAACTTTCATGACCCTGACCCAAATGACCTTTGACCTGTAAGTTACTTTTCGAGACCAGGTTTAGCCGGAATCGCAATTCGGCCTACGTCGGCTCGCATTAGCCGAGCGTTTGCAGTCTTTTCGTGGTTTCAAGCGTTTAAACATAGAATATGATGTTGCTCCCATGCATTAGGGTGGGTGTCAAGGTCTCCGAAAGGTCAGGTCAGGTCATTGACCTTTGATGACCTCGGTTCACTTTTTCGAGTTTAACACGCTTTTAGACTAGTTTTTGGAGCTGATTTCGAATTTAGCAGCCATTTGAACAATTACGAAGAAGTTTTGGTGCCTTCGCACATTGTTACGAAGCTGTCAGAGGTGTTTGCCACCTACTACGAATACCCGGCAAAATCCTTACTGGTTGATCTGACCTGATCTGACCCGACCTGGCCTTAATGCATGGAGACGTTATCTATTATCATAACTAACATGGTATTCGTGATCAGCACCCCGAAAAAAACCCATAACAGCCACCCTTTACGACGCTCTAACAGGTCCCGATTCCCCGACTTTTGGGTCATTGACCTGACCTGGAAGGTCAACTGATGACTAAGGATCTTGAAGTTGGGTATCATCATTTTCCTCTCGTCACGGGCAACACGGTCGTTTGTTCCGCGAAGTTCTAGCTCGATCAGGGGCGAAACGGCAAGGGGGTCCAACGGACCCCTTATACGTTCGCGACTGGAAAAACGCCAATACCGGCGAGGGTTAACATTAGTGTGCTACCCCTTCACATTGACCCACCAGACAGTGATAAACATAGGTACTATCCGTGTTGGGCGTTTCATTGAGTTTTTATGTTTGTGGGGGGGGGGGAGGCAAACACGAGCTGGGTTGCTGGCCAGCTGCCATTTTATGATTTGCTTCCCGGCGCTCTCTGGGCCCTGTTTCACGGCACGCCCCTTCACTTCGCTTCAGCGCGCTTCACTGAAGCGGTGAGGTAAACGGAATCTCCGATGCTAAGGTATGACCTCATCACAAAACAACAGCGTGTTGTATTATATTGCTTGCAGTATTGCTTCGCATTGAGATATGTCGCGGAATACAAACATAAAATGTAACAGCCATATTTCTGATTTCAATGCGAAACAATACCTACTGCAAGCAATATAATACAGCGTGCTGGCGTTTAGTGATGACGTCTTACCTTAGCATCGGAGGTTCCGTTTAACTCGCCGCTTCAGTGAAGCGCGCTGAAGCGGAGTGAAGCGGCGTGCCGTGAAACAGGGCACAGCTCTGAAAATCACAAAACCCTATCTTTTCCCGTAGCCATGAACACTGAACAGTTATTGAACAAATCATTTACTGTTTCTCGTTAAATCCATGCAAGATTCCTAACAAAAACGTATTGCGGAGAAGGTAATTTTGTGAGAAGTTAACGTTTTGACTGGGGGGGCAAATGTTGGCCACTGGGGGGGGGGCAATCCGCTCCACTGGGGAGGCAATTGCCCCCCCCCCCCCAGTTAACATGTTAGACGAGGCCCTGCATCTCTTCCCCTCTCCTCATGTCGAAGCCTTATCCTTTTCTGACATACCCATACCTATCCAGCATTCTATGAATATCCGGCTCCCATGCTCTCCCTCAGCCCCGCTCCACCACTCTCCCTCTCCCGCACCTACTGGCGAGCTCCGGTGGCTCCCCATTCAGAAATCGGGACAAAGGCTGCGCGGCGGGTGGCGGACCGGCGCGGCACGCTGCTGGCTGCTGCTGCTCCGCTCACTGGCTGTATCGACCCAAAGCGCGGGCGGACGAGGCTGGGAGCCTCCTCAGATGCCCCGCCCCCGCCCCCGCCGCCGCCGCCGCTGGCTCGCTGGATGGGTATTTTGGGCCCGGCACCATCGACCAGGCCCGGGCCGTGGGGCGCCACCCCTCCCTCCCGCAGTGGTCGACACTGCCGCCTCGAAGGCACTCCCGACTGCTGTTTGTCGAGCTCGGCCTCGGCTGTTTTGCTGTTCCTGCTTCAGCGAGGATTGGAGTTTACTGTCTCTGGTGATATGCGGCCACTTGACATAGGTAGCCGGCTTTTGAAGCTACGTAAACTGCTGGTAAACGCCACATGCAATGGTCTGAGGTCGAGGTGAGGTTGGAGCGTCATTCTTTATTAAAATACCACATTGTTACATAATTAATATAACTTCAAAAACAAACAGGTTGAGCTCCACCTCAATTTACCATCGAACAGATGAGCACGCCTTTCCCAAGCAGAAGAAAACATCTAATATACCGTGAGGCAGCACACAATCTCTATTAAAAGCTTCGCAATTTCCTTAATCAAGTTTCCAACTAACTACCGTTCCGTGCCGGGGAGTGTTCAATAGTCCTTTGTCGGCTGCGGTCCGCGGCACCAGCACCGATGAACCGCGATATGAATACTTCACATCCGGGAGCGGCTCGAACGCTGAAAATAGGCCCCGCTGCGAACAACAACGCACGCCAGCCGCCGGCCGTGTGGGGATCGACTAGCCGTGCCGGTAATAACCTACTCGAATAATTGATCAACTCATTATTATACCACTTGATCCAATTTCTGGACACCGATGCCTCCCTGGATTGCAGTCACTGTGTAAGGACGTGCGACTCAGCCGCGTTCTGGATGCGACTGTTCTCTATTTTCTGTTCTGAGCCGGTGGGGTCGTCCCGAGTCCAGCTCATTGCGGAGGACGTCGCTGTCAGCCATTGATTTCCAGTGAGCCAGCGTCGCGACACGACCCCAGTGCGCCGCACAGGCAGTACCCGGGCCAAAGGTCAGGCTCCGGCGGCGCTTTACGACCACCGGCTGACCTTCTGGGTCGCCGCTGTCGCCGCCGACGATGGACCGCGGTCGCCGGACATCGTCGGGCAAAAACCGACCCAGTGACGTCGCACTGACGTCAGAGACAAACCGGCGCCGCGGCCGGCTCGATACTGCGGCCGCCCCTCCCCGCAGCGTATCGCGGCATCGTCTGAATGACGCACGGCGGCGTGGCGATATGAAGAGCGGCAAATATATCCGCCTACGTGCGTAAGGGACTTTTTATCAGCACTCAGCTAGTAATAAAGCGTGCGGACACTCGAAACCAACCTCAGGCCGGATTCAAGTGCTTCTATCTTTGGTGTGGCTGGAGAGCGCGCGTGACGTCCCGGCGCAAAAAAAAAAACGCACCTAGCCACTGTGTGTCTGCTCTGCAGGGCGCTGACGTCCCCATAGCACAGGGCTGAACCGACCGCGCTGGCCATCTGGTGCCGCTCAGCGACCGGCGCCGGCTGACTGCGGCTGACGTCACATGTGGGCTAAAACGGGCCGCGTCCGTCGTGATAAATCCCCGCCGCGGCAGTGCCGGCTGTTTCCGGTGGCGCACGCTCTGCCCGGCCAACTGTTGCCTGCAGATCACGCCGGCTGCAGCCAATATGCCAGCGACCCGCTGACCTTTGCCAGCGCACAGCCGCCGGCTTCCGAATGGCCATATTTTCGCGGCGTATGCGGCTATTATTTTGGGAACGGACTATAGGTAACTGTCATGCAGCGAAGTCGTTGTAAATAAAGCTGCAAAGCAATATCCGAAGTCTAAAGAAAAACTTCACACCACAGCGTATGTTGTGCCAAGAAAAGTGATCGTTTCAAGCATGGCTTTCTAACAATTAAGGATTCACTGTCATTTCGTCCCCATTCCCTCCCTCACAAAAAAATGGCGATTGTGTGCAAGCGATTAACACCTATCCGTCTGTCCGTTCTGACATGTGATTCCGCTCTTGCCATGTCTGCTGGGATGTGTCCTACTTGTGATAGTTTTTTCCCACGTTGTAAGCTGTGACTCACCGGTGAAACCAAACAGTAAATTTGTCTTCTGTTGGTGGTTCAGCATTAATTCTAACCTGGGTCATTCCTTGCCGTTTCAGCTGTCGAAGCGGTCAGCAGCCGGCGCGTCAGGCCGGGGGCCCGCGTCTGATGAGCTCTCGCGGCAGCTCAGCGACCTCCAGAGGAGAGACACGTAACTGTCTCCCGCCGACAACGCAGCGAAAGAGACAACGCAGCGCCCGCAGAGATGAGCCCGAGCGGTCCAGAGCCAAAATGTCATGCAGCCCAACAACCCGAGCTAAAAATCAACGTAAACCGACGCAACCGCGAGCTAACAATCAAGGCAAACCTAGCGCTGAAGCAGCAACTACGGTCGGCCTTTGTTTAACAGCCCAGTCTCAGTTGCTGGTGGTCGGAAAGAAGCTGCGCTAGCAAGCTATCCTGCCAGGTCCTGCTAGCCGCACTAATCGGTCCAGCCTGGTCCGGCCAACCCTATCAATCGGCCCGGATTAGTCCAGCGAGCCCGACCAATCGACCCACTCGGCGTCTGTCGGAAAACACCTTGCGGTAACCGAAGAAACTCGACCAACAAATTCGGCAACAGCGTAACCCACAACTGGGGAACAGCGGGGTGCGGGTGGCATCGATAAGGCGTTTCGAGGTGTATAGCTCGGACAGCGGGGCGATCAGTATGTTTGGGCCTCAGGTCCGTCATGGGGACCTAGATTCCGTCATTTGGTGTCAATGTTCATTCCAATCAGGGTAATCGTAGAACAGTGGAAGAAAGCGAGAGAGAGAAAGCGAGAGAGAGAGAGAGAGAGAGAGAGAGAGAGAGAGAGAGAGAGAGAGAGAGAGAGAGAGAGAGAGAGAGAGAGGAGAGAGAGAGAGAGAGAGAGAGAGAGAGAGAGAGAGAGAAAGCAATGCGAGCGAAACAATATAATAGAAGCTAGTGTATGTCGCCGCTGCGTAGCGAATTTCCAGAATAAGTAGGTACCTTCATGTGATGTCAACGTATGAATCGTATGTCAAGGGGGCTCTCCCGAATGCCTTGTTTATCGTCCCACGCTGATTTTGTGAAATGGGTGGGCGTCAGCATTTGTCTTGGCTCATTTTAAGCCACTGACATTATTCTAAATAAGATATCCCCGAGAAGCTTTACATGATATTGTGGCTGTTGTTAACCTGTTTACCTGCGTGCGTGAAGTGTGTGTTCTTACGGGTCCAGTGTTGAGCTGACATGTGAATGGAGCTCCTTATCGAGTGATATACGATACCTGTATGTGCGGTCGCTGAGTGGCAGCGGAGAGGCCCACCGGCCGACCCACCAGCCTCCAGAGGGTAGGTGCGGTACCCACGAGTGTGTGCGATACCGCTGGGACCCCGGTACCGCGCAGGGGGTGATGTGATTTCTCCGCGAAGCCGCCAGTGTGATGCATGGTGCATTATCCAATTATGTATAGCGCAACGTACTCGTGTTGTACATATGTATAGTTATCAACGTATAATGTATATTATATTTTCAACTATTTAAATGAAATATATACTACCAACAAACTAAAACGTATGTTTTTGACATGACTAGGGATTCGGCATTGATGAATGAGGGGTGCATGGCCGTAATATATTTCAGCCCACATTTACTACATAAGCACACCTACATTCGCACTGATAGGCAATGTCAGTTGAAATACACTGCAACTGCAACAAAAAGAGATAAGTTATAAACTGCAACAAACGAGTTTACCAGAATGAAATTATAATAAATTCTGCTCAATAATGGCGGAGAAATTCATCAGCAATATTAACTCATAAGTGTAAGCATTGCAAACAATAATGTGTGTCACGGTAACGACCATGCTTACTGGATAAGGACAATGCTGCGACAGTGCAGTGGCTTACTGTGTGCGGCCTACATACAGGCCGACAGCATTTTGCTTCAATAGCCAGAAAAAAGACATTTGATGTCGAAACAGCTAGCAGCTTTTTCAAACAATAACCCGGCAGGCGGTGGGCCTACCAGCCACCTTCCGCGCGGTGGGGGGGGGCACTTTTTTGCCCCCCCCCCGTATCTCCGAAACTACTGGACGGATCCGGAAAATTCAAACAGCGTTCGATAGCCCTGTCAAATTTGTCGAGGGAAACCAAATTTCATTGACCTCGGGGTCACCGATGACGTCACAGGTCAGGTCAAAGATAAAATGTTTCACCGTTCACGGGGCTTCTAGGGAAAGCGCTATAACACCGAGTAAAACGCATTTTGTCGAAAATCAGCGATAAGGCGTCAGTTGTCTAGTACATATGTTGCTATTAGAGGTCACTGGTCATACCAGGTCAGGTCACAGGTCAGGTCACCAAAGGTCACCAAGGGTCACCACATGAGCCCAACTTTACTAAGGTTATGCGATGCATGTTTTATGGCCAGTTTTTCATTTCCAACTCAATGGTGTTGGTAACAAGACCATCAGGTACGGTTTAGGTCACTTTCTGGTGGAGGTCAGGTCAAGGTCAGGTCAAAAAAGGTCAAATTTCAAAGTTGATATTTTTGCACAAAATGGGTATCGATTCGATGCAGCTCGTCACGGGGAGTCTAATGGTGGTCTTTGTTTTGCTCTACGAGGTCTAGAATTGCTAAAAATTGAGTTTGAAAATTTGACGTCATCAATTTTGAACAGTTTTTTCGCTATAACTTGGCCAAAAAAAGAGGTATCGTTCTCAAATTTGGTATGTAGATAGAAGGCCGTAGGGGTTATCACATATATTCCGGTTTTTCCGAAATTCAAAAAACTTTTTGGATTTTTTGGCTATTATATTCAAAAAATCTATTTTTTGAGTTTTGGGGGTCAAAATCCAAAAAAGTTGAAAAACCGAAATAGCAGTTTTGTAGCCCTGTTAATTCCACACCTTTTATGTTAAAAACATTTTTCTGTATCTCTAAAGCTGTTGGCCTGACAGCTCTTCCCGCGAAACCTTTTTTTGGGTCGAAAATGGCAAAAGTGACGTCACTCTGACGTCATTAGCGGCCAACCTATCATAGCCTTTGGAAAAATTTTTGGTCACCATGTGCGCTAGCTGCTCCCGGGAGGGTACTGAAAGTTTGGTGACGATCGGCGCAGCGGTTCTCGAGATATATCGAAAAAAACTAAAGGGGGGGCAAAAAAATGCCCCCCGCCCCCACCGCCTGGAAGGTTAAGATAGATGCCTATATAATACCTAGCATGTATAGACCACTATATATCTAGTGGTCTACATATCTATATATCTATATACCTACCACTATATATCTAGTGATATATAGTGGTCTGGGTCTTTCATAATGGTCTTTTCACGTCAGTTCCGTGCAAAATACATTAACGCTTGGCGTTAGAGGTGCAACCGGCCCCCCGTTTCCTGGAGGTGCCCGGCATATGAGGGAGCCGGCCACAGAGGGTGCGGGCGCCAATTGGAGGCTAGATAAGCGCCAGCGGTCTGGTAAGCAAACACAGCCCGCCCGGCCTGGCGAGGACACTGCGCCGGCCGCCGGGCGCCTCCAGTGCGTGAGTGGCACGTCAGACGGCGGCCGCTCATGTTTTTCGTGCGTGCGCGCTCAAGCCGCCGCTATCATCTCCCGGAGATGGGACGCTCCACACGCGAAGGGACATCCGGTAAGTCACGCCTTTGCTTGCTGGCGTCTCCCCATTGTGTCCAGGCTGTCACGAGCGACCCCACTACCAGCAATCTTAGGCCCGCGGGCGCTCCGTGCCGGCGTACCTACCGCCCCCTCGTATTGTTGTGTTGAACATTTCAGAGTGGTCCACGTTCCACTTGTGTGTCGATTACTGCCGTGGCGATCACGTGGCGATTACTGCTTCTTTTGCTTGTCTTACCGCCGACACGTCCCGCGCCGTCACGCCGCAGCTGACATCCCCTGCTTCTGTCATGAGAGTTTCTCGGACGGCCAGTCCGCCCTGCCCTACTATAACGCCCATCTCACCCGTCGCCGGTGAGTTTTCCCGTCGGCTATTAGGCCGTCACGCCGCCGCTAGCATGGCTTCTATCGTCAGTCGCCTGGACTGTGCCGTCTTATACGCTGTCACGCCGCCGCTGACAATCAACTATCTCGCCCGTTGCACGGCCTGTCCCGTCTGTCATACGTGGTCAAGCCGCTGCTGACTACCTCTTCTGTCACACGGACTGTTCGTCTGTCATTTACACCGTCACGCCGCCGCCAGACCCCGGTCTTGCCGCCGCCGACCCTGCCTCGCCCGCCACCCAACATGTCACGCCGCCGCTGACACACCCAACCGTCACGCCCGCTACGTTCGTCGTCACCGCCGTCATGCCGCCGCCGACAGCCCACCGTCACACCTGACGCTTCCGCTGGCTGTCCTGCCGTTTGCCACGACCCGCCCGCCGCCTGGCCGCCCCGCCGGCCGCCGCTCGGCAACCCCTCCCCCCCGCCGGCCGCCGCCCGGCAACCCCTCCCCCCCCCCCCGCCGGCCGCCGCCCGGCCGACCGCCGCCCGGCCGACCGCCGCCGCGGCAACCCCTCCCCCCCCCCCGCCGGCCGCCGCCCGGCCGCCCGGCCGCCCGCCGCCCAGCCGCCCAGCCGCCCCGCCGACCGCCGCTCGGCCACCCCGCCGGCCGCCGCGCTGTCTCTCCGAGCCGGACTGTCACCTGCCACCGCCTGAGGCCGCCGGCCGTGCCTTTGTCTCCCGGCGGCACCTCCCATCCCGGGCCGCCGCCCGCGGCCCCTAGCCGCCCGTCTGTTTGCTTAGCGCTGCCTTTCCCACCGGTGCCCATTCTATCGCGCTCGCCCTGCTCATATACTCGCGTCCCTCTCTTACACTGACGACAAAACAACTCGCTATAACAACAACACTAACTAGCTATGACCTTTCCGAGATCAGCTGATCTTTCATATCATACCAAACTGTCATGCCCGCCGCGCTCTTCACCACCGCTATCACCGCCGGCCGTCTCTCCCGTTTGCCATTTTCCACCTACGCCTGAGGGCTGTTCATGAGCCCTGTGTGCGGTCGGACCGTACACAGCCTCCAAGCTCCGCCCACTGCGTCCCCACGTCAGCCTTCCGTCACCGCACAGCAGCGACCGCTGTGGCCGGTCGGACTGGCCACAGCGGACCCTCCACCATGACGTCATGACGCAGCCATGACGTCAGAGCCGTCTACCCATCCCCCTGGTCACCCTGCCAGTCACTGCGGCGCCTCTCTGGACCGGGACCGGGCTGTCTCCGGCCACCGCCGCGCCAGCCGCACGTTTGTTTGCTGGCGTCCCCCCTTAGCTGGTGCACTTGTCTCGCCGCGCTCACCGCCGCGACCGGCCCCTGGCCACCCTATCAGTATCGGGCCGGTGGCCCCCAGCCGTAAGTCTGTTTGCTTAGCGCCGCCCTCCTCACCAGCGCTCGTTGTTTTGCGCTCATCTGTCGCAGAACGCTGCGTCCATAGTTGTGTGGTGGTTAGCGTGACGGATCCGTTTGTGTGCCGTTAGGACTATCGCCAGGGTGTCCCGGTTCGATCCCAGGTGGCGCCGGACCTTTGCGCTGCGTTAGGCAATGTAACTCAGCACAGGGGGCTGCGCGCCTGCGCATCGCGCCTTTGTTGCCACCTACGCCGCTACGTCACGAGCCGTCACGCTGCTGCCGGTCATGCCCGTTACACGGTCACCGCGTCTGTCATATGCTGCTGTCAAGCCACCACCACCGGCCGACCTGTCAGGTTCATCGCACGAGCTGCCTATCCGTCACATACCGCTACCACGCCGATGCCGTCACGCCGCTGCCGACAACCTGGCACTGTAACGCCGCTGCGGACAATCATCTATCATCCCCGCCGCACAGGCTGTCCTCCTGTCACGAACCACTGCCACGCCGCCGCTGACACTTCTGTCATGTCTAACGCACTGAGTGTCCGTCCGCCATATAGGTACTGCTATCACGCTGCTTCCGACCGTTCACGATCATGTCTAGCCCGAGCGCCCGGACCGACACGTCTCCCACATACCGCCGCCATGCTGACACTCCAGTTCTACCCATCCCGGCCGCCGCCCGGACCACCCAGTACGTCTTAACCGCTGCCGCGCCGCCGCGCCGCCAACGGCACCGGGCACACCTATACCACGGCTATCGCCAGGCCCACCCCCTCTGTCACATACCACCATCCCGCCGTTACCACAAGCCCTCCTATCATCTACCCAGCCACCCCGGCTGTCATGCCGCCGCCGACAGACCCTTCGTCATGCCAGCGCTCTAGCCGCAGGCCTGTCACACGTCAACGTCACTCCGCCGCTGACAGAGCAACGGTCATGTCTGACGCCGACGGCGGCCCGTGTACCACGCCGTCCCCCACCCGCCGCCTAGACCGCCCGCCGACAGCACTCGTTCTGCCGCGCCCGCCGCCGCGGCCGGCCTGATAACCCTCTCGTCTCGGGCCGTTGCTCGTAGGCGCCTGTTTGCTCAGCGCCCTCCCCCCCCCCCCCACCTCAGCGCTCTTGTACCGCGTTCGCTCGCCGTGGACAAGCGCAGCCTCGTGTTGAGTTGGTTAGAGTGCGGGAAACCGC